TTTCTTTTTTTTTTTTTTTTTTTTTTTTTTTTTTGGTGTCGTCTTTGGCGCTTGGCGTGTTGGCTCTTTGGTTCTTTGAGGTTTGGAGGTTGGAGGTTGGAGGTTGGTTTGGAGGTTGGAGTTTGGTTTGGAGAAGGGAAGGGAGAGGGCGAGGCGGGGGGGTGGGAAAGGGGAATGAAATGAGAGAGAGGGTTCTCTGATAGTTTGAGAGAGGTAAATTTTGAGATGGGGATTAGTGAATGGTGGAATGGGGTTGGGAAAGTGGGTTGGGAAAGTAGGTATCGAGCATGGGATTCTTGATGACTACCTCTAGGTGTTGCTTTTGGGTGTGTACGAAGTAGGTAGGAGGTAGGTTGTGGATTGTGGATTGTAGAGGCTTTTTTTTTTTTCATACCTTTACGGGACGGCGGGATGGGCGGCTTTTGCTTGGTTTCATTTGTGGCTAGAACTAGGTGCGTGGCTTGGGTATAAAGAGAGGTCGGTTACGAAAATATATATACATATGTTTAGTAATTTCGTGACTTGAGGATAGATAAAGAACGATGTTTTAGATGAGGTTTCTAAAAAANAAAAAAAAAAAAGAACGAGCTTTCGAGTCTTCAGTACGATGCATATGAGATGCTGAAAGGGATTTTAATAATCAATCGCTTTACTGACTTTGAAGCCCTACCGTCTTTAAAAGAAATAAATGAACTAAGCGAGCGTTATCTTCGACGCTCAGTCAGAGGATAAAATCTTACTCCTTAGCCTTTCCGATATCTGCTCTTGTTGCCAGCTCGAGCTTCACCGGAACTAAAGGTTCCTGTAACCGGCGATACTAAAGACGAAGGCGAGGAAGACGATACTCCATCCGAGACCAGATGATCTTGAGCAGAGATCAAAAAAACGGGAGATCCTGCAATTCTGAACTGATCAAGCGCTAGCTAGCATTGCTAAGATCGAGAAGCGAGAAACGACATTGTGATTTGTTACGGCTTTTCGAAAGGGTGCGGTGGTACCTATTTTGAAGAACAGGCGGGCAGCTAACCGGCCGTTTGATCGAAATTGGTGATATTGCGGTCGGTCTGGTCACATCTACTCCGTCACATCTGCTCCTATAATCTTTTCGCTACCGATATTTTTGCGGCGAGAGATCGGACTCGCCGTGAGGACTTGCCGCTCTTACTACAGCAAATATGAAATTGTAAGGTGGCGTTTGGTGATATCGAGGAAGCGTGAAATAGATACTCGAAGAAAAAAAAAAAAAAACCCCTGAAATTGAAGATCTTGGAATTGATTTTAGCTATGAAATCGATGCCTCTTGCGATTTCATTTTCGATTGCGTTCTGATGACATCTCTTTCAGATCTAGTTTCGAAGGTCCATTTATGGTAAATCGCAACGCTGAGGATCGTTCATCCTACTTTATCTTAGTACGAAATAACTATTCGCAGCATGATCTAAGTATGTGAAACAGGAAAAAGCGCGATTATTGTAGTTCAGATAAAAGAGTAGGACCTTTGAGAGATGAGCAAACAAATCAAAAACTTGCGGACTCCATACTTTTCGTCGATCGCGGCTGAGAGCTGGTATACTGAATATCAGGGTCCGTATGCATTCAAATCATCACGCCGAGATGTAGTGAGAAGAAAGGAGAATTAAGGAGTAGAATGGTATTATCTGTGTAAGATTTCGATTTGTGGTTGTTACGCGGTTGAAAAGTGATAGTTGAATGTCTGATGTTGATTTTGATGTTCTCGCTTAAGTGGCCAACAGCAGTTGCCTGGTACTGTACGTTGGGCTACAGTCCCAGGCGAGGAGGAGGAGGCTTCGTGACATTATCGCGAATCTGATATTGCGAAGACTTCGCTAATGCATATAGGCGGGAGCGATGGTCTTGATGCATAGGGCCACCGATCGACTTCTTGTAAGGATATTTTTGAAAAGTGTACGGAAGAGATGGTGTAGAAATCGTGCTGCACAAAGAGCAAACCCTTTTTGGGCATGCATTTGCACAAGCAAAAGGCTGCAGTCGAAGAACCTTAACCCTAAGCCACGATAAAGCAGCTTCTAGCGGCGCCGCGCTCGAGCATACATCGTTGGAGGTGTATCGCGGCAATACCAGATCCTGGGATAGGATTGACCGGCCGTGCCGCGCACTTGCAGGAAGATATGATATGTGTACTTCGCTATGACTTAGAGCATTATGGTCAATTAAATGTAGTACAATTGCTTCGCGGTGGATTGAACTGAGCCTATTTCACATAGACCTCGATATTGATCGTGTGGAGTCAATAGCCCCAACGCCCACTTTGTCGAGCTTATGCGGTACCGATAGTGCTACGCAGATCGGCAGGTCAATGAACGCTATCTCCCGAAACCGTCCGTCCCCCTTACTACCCTCTTAGCTATGGCGTTGACTTTATAATAGTATCTAGGATAACTCAGTACGTTCACTCGGCTTCGAAATCCATTCATTTGGATGGCTAGCTAGCCAGCTAAACCAGCAACCAAAAGCTGCAGCTCACGATTGATCTTGTGTCAAGACATTATCGGAACGTGGTCAGACGCTCCTGCCTGATTGAGAGACGGCGAGTAGGTCGGCTGCGTTGCCACTCAAGTCCTCCGCTAACCTTTGAATTTTTTAATTCCCAGTTACGGAAGTACTCCCGTGCATGAAGAACGAGCCTCTATTCGTCTAGGTGGGGGCTTTGAGGTCGCTTGGTCATATTAAAGAGCCCAAGATGGGTTGGAGGGGGGGGTTCTTTCTTTTTTTTTTTGCTGCGGCGGTTTTATCGAGCACCGCAATACAAATGGTAAGCACACAGCTCTTATAGAGGCATATCTTTACAATATCAAGGAGCAGAGGTCGGTCGCGAGGTCTGTCAATGGCTCGCTCGGGTTGGCATCCGCATCTCCTCCTTGAGTCCTCTTGATTTGACCTGCGCCCTCGAGCCCCCCAGCTAATGTACCGGCTGTAGCAATGCTATCAAGACCTTGGATTGCCTGCGTTCTACAAGTGCGGTACGCTTCAACTTCATAACGTCCTTATCCCGACCCGGGTGGAGCAGCTAGCAATTCTATATATGTGTAGTTTGGATTGCTTCACTAAATTTTATGGAAGATAAAAATTATCTTATATTTTTCTTGTGGAAGTGCAGAAATTCAAAATCTATCCTGCAACGTTCTTACCTCCTTGGCAATAGCTTTGCGCAGAGCTACCTGCAAACCAACCCGCAAATCTCACCTAAAAATCTTGCTAAAGACCTCTACTATTCAACGGAAGAAATCTCGTCAGTAACGGAGGCATTAAAACCATGAATTTACTTTTCTCTAGCCAGGTGCGTTCCACTAGAACCATCCGTCACGCCTGAAATTTTCGTTGCTGATATTAAAATAAGCCTGGTGATGTGACAACGTTACGGCAAATATCTGCTAGCTCCAGCTCTTCATTGCCAATGATTCCATCACACCCTCTGCATACCTACCTTCCTCTCCTTCCACTGCCGAAAAACATCGTCAGAATTATGCTCACCTCCCGAGGTAAAAAAACTTACATTGAAAGCAACCTGCACATCGCGAAAAAAAGGCTCCCCAACGATCCAAACATCTGCCAGTCCGTTGCCACCCACTGCGTTCACAGATCCCGCTTCACTTCCAGTAAAGGCCGTTCCGACACCCATCCTGGACTCAATGACGATACCTATGCAGTAGCCACTACCAATTGCCTGACGACCCAGTGAGAATCTTCCTCTTAGCGAGTATGTACCCGTATCTCTCTTCCCTTTCAAGACCTGGACGTTCCCTTGTTCAAATTCGAAGTGTATCTTTGGACGATTGAAACAAGGATAAGCGTAAAATTGGTCATATGGAGCCGGTAATTGTTTGCTTCCCGAGATCGAAGAGTAGAACACGCGAGCTGCGAGAGGGGGAGCCACGATGAAAGGCGTGTTGACCTGCTGCGTGTAAGACTCCGGAATACTTGTGAAATCAAGGTGTTCACTGACGTCTAAGATAATAGGCTGATTCTCCAGTACTTTGATGCCATCCAACCATATTCCTCGCATCAAGAGCTGCCACCAACCTTCAGCCCCCTGAACATTCATCCACCTCCATTCCTTGCCCGGGATATCTGCCGCCTCTGTCTTGACTGTGTCTCTTCCAGACTGGTCGGGTTCTCCTGGATTGCGCATCTCGCTCGTCTCTTTCTCAATTCGTCTTTCCGAGGCTCCTGAAGTCCCTCCAATGCTAAAGATGCCTTCTTTGCCATTGATCAGCAGTAACGACCAGACAGGAGTGTCGATTACGTCCTGGCTCAGCAACTGTTGGAGGAGCCCTACAGTCCTCGTCTGGCTTAATGATGCGGCGGGTGCAAGTCCCAGGTACGCTCCCGATGGTAGCAGCGCTCGAATCCACTGCTTTGCGGGCCTGCAATGTGCGAAGGAGATCGCAGTTATCCGATGAACAGTAGGTAAGTGAATGATATCTGTGGGCTCCCGACAAGTCGGAAAAGCGATTGGCGCTTCGGAATCTACTGCACATTATCAGCATGATTCCCAGAAGCCTAACAGAGCTCGGCTCACCATAGGTCTTGCTGTTGAAGTCCAAAAACCAGCTGCCTTTCGAAGAACTCGTACTGAGTACCCACCAATCCGCCGTCAACATATCAAGGTCCATGTCTACTGCCTGGGCAGGGTCTCCTATATTCAGGTTCGCGAACCAATTGCCTTCTCTTCCTACCTCTCCTAGTAGTATCGAGCTGGCCTGTGTCCCACGGATGCGCTTCGGTTTGCGTACGATCTTGTTGCCATTGAAATCGCGCGTCGTAGCATTGAAGCGTGCCTCCATGACTTTGAGTTCTTCAAGCAGGTACGTCAAATTCGCTGTGTCTGGTGCTGGGAATCTACCCGAGCGGCGTGAGATTTTGTAGTGTATTGGCGATAGTGCGGGAGCTGGCGTTATTGATGCAGCTTCTACTGCTGATACGAAGACCAGCCATGTGAGAATTGTTTTTACTAAGCGGAAGCAAGCCATTGCTGATGGGAATGTTGATTGTCGAGCGAAGGCCAGGAAAGAAAGAATACCACGGAGGGCAATCATTTTTTTTTCTTTCAAATGCATAATAGAAGACCCCGAGTTTCCGACCCTCTCATGGAAGGAGCAGCTGTTCTGAGCAGGATTCGATCTCGTAGCCCGGATAGGAAAGAACGATCTGGAATGCGTTGACAAAGAGCTAAGAAAAATCAGAAACCAGAACACAAAGAGTGAGCGCCTAAAGAAGGCTGATTGCATTTGAAACAGATACCACAGATATTCTTGCACATCGAGCAGATCTGAACGCAGATGGAAACTCAGATTATGAGTCTTTCACATCACGTGGGAGAAGTAATGCAATTGACGGCCTGTGAACATCCCACGACGTTGGACAGACAAGCCAGCGCTTTTGACTTTTGGTATTCCCAAGGCATTACTAAGGACCCGTCAACATCAACATATTTTCCAAGCACCCACACTGGACGCTCTCTATGCTCATTTACGCCGCCTTGAACCCAGAACCGATGAAAAAGCAAAATAAAATCGTGTTCCTACTCATTGACAGAGAAGCCCATCTGGAAATGAAGAGGTACCCAAGGAATTATAGGCATATCAAGTAGAAGGGTATTTTTACACAAGAACCCAAACAATCCACGTGGTTAAAACTCATCAGTCGTAATGCAGGAGCCAGGCAAGTCTCATCTCCTCCGTACTGCGAGGTTCAGACAGTCCAGTACCTAGGAAGAGTCAGGAACTATGACATCGAGAGGGATCAAAAGAGGACTTACTCCTTCCGGAATAATACCCTGGTTGTAGAGATGCTTGCTGATACCTTTGACCAGCTCCATTTGCTCCTGCGGAGTTAAACCATTGATCGCGCTTTCGATGACACCTCCAAGCGACACCTTATAGACTGCGATGAAGCTATGGTAATACATGTATGCGAAGAATCCCATGATGAATTGACAGTCCATGCGATCAGTGATTCCACCGTGACCAGGGATCGAGTCACCGAAGTCCTTGATCTTGAAAGTACGTTTGAGGCCCGAGGCGAAGAAACCACCGAAGGGAGCAATCAGGGAGGCAAATGTTCCGAAGACCAAGATGTGGACTTGCATGGGGGCCATGGAGAAAGACTTGAAGAAAGGAAACCAGATTGGTAGGTGGTAGAGGCTTGGAAGGAAGACGGGATTTGGTGTGCATTGAAGGCCGGTCCAGATGTTTGCTCCCAGATCCTAGGGAAATTTAGCGAGCCGCCCTATCGTGACTTGCCTACTACTCACATTTACAGGACAGATAAAATACTTGTATCTCATCAGGACATTGGTCATGCCAACACCAAAAATTATTGTTAAAATCCAAGCACCAACAAATCCTTCAACTGTCTTCTTGGGTGACAGCTTAATGAGCTGCGTTCGGCCAAAAGTAATTCCGCAGATGTATGCAAAGATGTCGTTGCAGATAACCAAGGAGACGGGCAGAAAGAACCAAATCATTCCCTCGAAGACGTTGTTCATGATGAAATGTGCCTGCACCACAATGAGGTAGAGGGCCATATGGGTCCAAGCGAACTGTGTAAACTGAAATCGGTAGTGCCCAGCTTGTAAGGAAGCAACGAAGAATACAAATCCTAGGATATGTTAGTACCTTTCTGGTTGTGCCCTTGACAATGGAATTACCTATAACGTAGAGCATGAAACTTATGAATCGGTGATGGGTCGCAAACGGCAGAAGCACCTTGTCGACCAGTACGATATGCTTGAAATAGTAAATCACACTCTCCCCGTATAAGAAGTACATTGTCGTTGCCAACCAGTACCAATTCAGGGCCTTTGTGAATTTTAACCTTCGCGCTCGACTGGGGACATTGGCAATCGCAATGACCTCCTTGAAAGAGACGATCTGCACTGCCGTTACAATAGCAATAATGTAAATATGGCCCATGAACATCGCCCCGAAAAACGCGCCGATCATAACGAATGTCCATATCGATCGAGTGATAAAGGTCGCCTTCTTCTTCTCGTACTCGGACACCGGGGGCTCCTGGGACTTGCAGAGAAGTCAGTTGGATATCGCATGACCTGCAGACTTGGATTCCTTACATCTAGCGTGCCATCATTGCCGGTCTTGGACTGGGTAGGAGAGCCTGGCTCTGATGCAGCTTCACTGATATCCGAGAAGCTGCTTCTTCTCCCGTCCATCCCGGAACTGTGACCATTTCGGTGGTTGAACTTGATGCTGCGGCGTGGTTTCGCCATCGTACCTGTCTGTATCTGATAGGACGTCGAGTGCGATAGTCCCCTTTCTTCCGCTTGGTCGGAGGTTGTGTAATTTTGCTGCCGAGGCGCGAATGCTTTCTATGCCCCGGGCGTAGTCATGAAGTTGCTGCGACGTATCGTGAGTCTCGTATGCCGGAACTGACCTAGGTTGATCAGACTTTGACGAAGGGTTTGGTTTGGGTCGAGTTGTCGAGAAGTCGCTGGCGTTGGTGTTGGCGTCGTGAAAGTGGAAAGGCTGGTCGGGGCCAGTGACGTTGACGTAAGTACCTATCCTATTTGGAGAGCTTGGTAATTCGTTTATTAGGGGCGGCCCATTACAGGTTTTCTCCGTGGGCACAAGATTCGGCCGGGTTGTGGAAAATAAAAAAGATAATTTTAATTAAAGAACGCACGGATGTGATTGGATTTCAAGAAGGAAAATCCTACATATTTTAGTAGTACACATTGAATATCGGCTTACTTGGTTCAGTTGTCATCGTCGTCTGATGACCCCCGGCAAAGTTTAAAGAAACAATCGGGAGTGCTGATCTTCCGGGCCCGAAGGCGGTGGCAGAAAACGCGTCGCCAAACCAAACGTCGCGGTCGATTCAACTCAGCTTGAAGTTTCTACACCAAGCCCGGGCCCTTTGTCTATGACCACCGATAGAGCCCGCCGCCAATGCAATGCTATGAGTATCCCACGGTATGGCAGGGTACGACGATGGCGATAGCTTCTTCGGTGACGATGATCTCGACGCCTTGCCAGAAGATGCGCTTGAAGAGCTAGAGAACAATGCCATCCAGTTTACACAAGCCCAAGCCCAGACCCAGGCCCCACGATACCAACCTCCTCCTTCCTCCGACTATGGTGACGAGTTTGATGATGAAGATCTGGACGATGCCATTGTAGTTGACGAGTCTCGAAGTACGCCCGCCTTGACCCATTACCCCCATCGAAGCATCCCGGGCCAAGCGTCCCAGCGAGAACATCTGCGCCCCTTTCCGCACGGTAATACGAATCACATCTTGGCCAATCGACAATGCCCGATTCCTCCTACTGATTCCAATCAACCTCTGCCCAGCCATCCCGTTCGATCCCACACGCAGTCTCGAGCTGCGGTTCCTGAGGATGATTCCCTGCGAGTCGAGCAAGGAAGCGCTGCCCAAACGGAAGCCAACTCGGAAGTGGAACGACTAAAGCGGATGGTCGAGGAGGTTCGAAACCCCACCCACTGTTCTTAGAATTTTCTAAACTTCTGTAGTTGAGGAAAGAAACAAACAGTCTCAAGAATGAAGTCAACGCTAAAGCCGGAGAAATTTCTATCGTAAGAAGCAAACACGAGACCACGGTCAAGGAATACGAGCGAGAAATCGCAGCGCAACGCAAGCTAGGCGAGGAAAAACTGGCAAAGCAACAAAAGGCTCTGGAGGCCGCCCGGATCGCCGAGAAGAATGCTGCCACCGAGAGAGACTTCATCAAACGGGATTTGGCCGAGGAGACCGAGAGGGTACGGAAGCTGAACAAAGCAAGGGAAGTGGAGAGGAAAGTAAGCGATTTGACGACGACTCCAAAAAAGAAAAAGGCTCTCCCCCATCGAGATGGATTCGATGATGATGAGATGGATATCTTGTCACCATCTAGGATATCCCCATCGAAGTTTCAGAAACGAAATACTCCATCCAAGCCAGGAAAAAGGAAACGCAAAACTGTCGAAAGTCCGGCCGGTGCTTTACATGTTATCCATCCAGAGGAGTCTTCATCCACGGACCCGGGTCAACAGGCCCCCGTACTTGACGAAGCTCTAATAGCAAGATTAGCAGTCCAAGATGAAAGATTCGATGTATGCTCTCCCATCATCTCCATGTGTCCTACTTGGCTAATTCGATATTGCAGTTTCTTGGAATTATGCTAGATCATCGCATCGACGGCAAGAACTTGCGCACCTTCGAGGAACTAGGCAAGCATGCATATCCATCTGCTCCCAGCGAGTCATTTCAGTCTATCATACTATGCAAAGTTCCATCTCTGGGATTTAAGAAGCTATCTAAAGATCTTGAAATCGATTTTTGCGAGCTTCTTATCTCTATGTGGACCAGATGTATGGACGAGGAATACGTAAGTTAATATGGCTCTCGTGCAAGGCGAACCTAACCGGTGCTCATAGTACGAACCGATGTATTTATTCATGGCTATGTTGACGTCTGCTTTGGAGCTCAACACATCGTCAATTGCTCCCTTCATCATCGACACATTGCTACCAATCACTCAGCGAACTGCTGACCGCGTTGCTATCCCTCGATTCAACAGGACAGCATACGACGATAGGATCGATTGCACTACGTGTATGTCTCTCATGTATCTCGCCGCTCAAGGCTGCATGTCCAGCCAGGAACATATACTTCGCTTCTGGAAGCTGATGCGCTGGGACCTCGTCCTATTTATGCTCAGTCCTAACCAGGGCCCAACGGATGTCGAGTTGATGCTGGATCTCTTGTCAACGAGTATTATGAAAGACAGCTTCGGAGCATTCCCCGGCGATGAAACAATGCATAATCAGCCAGGTTATATCATCGATCGAATCTCTTTCTGCTTCACCGAGATACCGAGAAAGGTTGTTCTTGCCACCAAATGGGAAGCTCCGAACAAGCCAATTATTGGCGAAAAGTGGGCTGCTAGTGATATATCGCATCTGCAGATTCGATCTCTCCTTCTTCTTATTGGAATGACCCGTTCTCCCTACGCCAGTAACGCTCTGGCCGCTCATCAGCATCTGCTTGGGAAGCTAGTGTCTCTCATAAGCGACGAAATGGATAGTCTGTACGATTATCAATCTGGCCGTGAAGACAGGTAAGATTCTTCAACGTGACCAAGTCGCTGAACTAATACAGTCTCAGTGCCCGAATTGTGACGCTAGCTACGCGACTGCTGTATTATATTGTAACGAAGTACGAAAATCTCGACCTTCAGAAGAAACTATCCACCATACCTGGCGGCTGCCAGAAATACCTCCTCTGCCTCTCCAGGCTAAACTTCTCAGAAGACGACCTCGTCCTGGAATCCGGTATCGAGCCCGACGTCGCGGGTCTTGCCTTTGAGCTACTCGGTTTACGTGTCACACTCGAAGAAGGCGACGCTATCCATGACGCCTTCTCAAGCTCGTGAATTCTGATTGTACATAATGTGTAAAATGGGGCCTCTGGACAGGCAGGCGATCGCATTCGGGTTTCCCCACGTGGGCTCTGCGGCATTTCTGCTAGGTGCCATATAGCATTAGATAGAGTACGCAAGTCCCCTTTCCCAGACAAGTTTCATCACTGCATATACAGACCAAAAATCTATCATATCCTTTTTGACATCATCGTTAGTCACATCTTCCTTTTCTCTATTTCGACTGCGCTCTTAAAGAAGACACTATAATACCCTTGACATCCTATCGATTGCACATATCTCCACTACCGTTGTTCCTCCAAGGTAGTAATCTTGGTTCGCTAGTTAAGCAAAGTCTTTGTTAAAAGCTGGCTGAACTACATGCGTCGCTAGTTAGTTTTTTTTTCTTTGGTGTCTCCGGGCATGTCTCCGGCTCGTATGTAGGCTGTTGAGGGTCCGCTCTGAAAGTCCGAGCGATTCGACGCCGTATACCTTCACAGTACGCATCAAGTGTTCCTGTCTCAGCGCCCGCCGCGCCTACTTTTTCTAGCGAGATCGCCAAGGCCGATACGCAAATAGAGCGAACACCTCTCGCCACTGTGTAAGCAAGTTAAGCGCTTTCTCAGCAAGGAGGAAACCCCAAACCTCGTATACTTGATGGGTTTGCGAGCCCAACGCTCGTCGTATAGCTCACAACTTATCCGAAGTCGAAGGAAGCAGACACTGAAAAAAAAAATAGTGCGGGAACTGTTTTAGAGTTCCCGAATGTCCAAAACGGCGCAATGCGCTACGCGGGCCCGGGAGGGTCCTTGCGAGCGCTTGCCTAACCCGGCAAAGGGCATTCCGATTTCGATTTTGGGGATTGCTGCTTTGGGAAGTCGCAGGGATATGGGTAACTAGGTAGGTGCTGACTCGATGTTTATTCATTGTTTTGGTGTCGAGTTTTATTTACGAGGAAAACCGACTGTGAAAACTCGGTGGTGTCCTCGCGACCTCCCCAGAATGCGTTTATCGCTGTCGATGCTCTTTCAATTCGGAAATGTCTCCGTGTATACTGCACCAAGATAAAACGATGATCGGATAAGAAATCGGCTTCCCTACCTTTCCTACAAGCAACATCCCTCTACCGAACGCACTGCCCTTGGCGCCTAGCCCCCGCTATGTTGGTCACGTGTATATCTGAATTCGGTAGACTTCAGAGTTGCGAACTTGCGATGAACTCTATTATACAAGCTATATACCGTACAAAATGCAGTAAAGTACCTACGGTACAGCCACAAGAGGAAGCGAGCACGGTAGCCAACTCACCAGCTTCAACTCCCGATACCATGATCCCCAACCTGGGTGTCCTTCTAGGACCTCGACTCTCTTCTCCCCTTCACTGACAAATGAAGGCCCGAATTAAAGCAAAGAGATTCGAGCTGGTCAGATCCAGCCAGTGATACGGAGAAGGCCGACATTGCAACAAGCATGAAAGCATGAAACATGTGGTGCTCCATCTCGACACGCCGCCAAGAAGAGTTCCGTTGACGAAGAAGATAGGCGACTCGGCTGGGTGAAACCCAAACGCTCCTCAAACAATACCTTAATCCGACTTCGACTTTGACCTCTTCATACTCTGGAAAAATGCCAGAGTCTCATCCTTTATCTTGCTTGCCATTCCCGCTGCCCCATTTCCCCCCGAAGTTCTACACCTAAGATAACGCCGGCATCATCTTGAGATTCGCTGCTACACGAAAAGCCCTGGACGGACAGCTGGATCCTGGCCTGCCGACATATTGACCTCTGCATTCGAATTGCGCTGGAGGGCACGAGATCGACAAGATGACGACGCGGGATAAAGGCGACGGTGTGGAGTTGTCCGTATTGCAAAAGCAAGAGTCGGCCCAGAGCCAGACAGTGAAAGGGAAGGCGCAGCCCGATGTCGAGGAGATGCAGTACGAGTTCAAGGACTTCAAATGGAAGGACCCGTTCACGAAGAAGAAATATATTCGTGCGTGAGCCCGGGCTGACCGCCCTCCCGGCGCAGCGAGGGGAGTGCAAGCAATGCTAAATATGTCTTCGCAGCCCACTGGATCTTCGCTGTCTTGCTCAGCGTGCTTATCGCGCTCGTCACCATTAACCACACCAAGATTGTCGAGGTTTGTGCTGGGCCTGGCGAGATTATGAGGGGGTCACTTGCTGATCTTAGCAGGCGTTACGGCCAGCATCGTTCAAACTCAAGGAGATGCCCGGCGGCTTTATCATTCCGATCATCATCCTCATCATTATTTCGTTCCCCCCCCTCTTCGGCCACGAGATCATCGGTCTGCTCGTGGGGGTTGTTTGGGGACTCTGGGTAGGATTTGCCATTGTTGCCGTTGGAACATTTCTCGGTGAAGGTAGGCCAACCTTCCGACCCGCTTACCGAGAGTGGTTGCTGATCCTGGTAGTCGGAACCTGGTATGCTTTCAAGTATGCTTTCCGGAGAAAGGCCATGAAGCTCGAGAAGACGAACATCACGTACGGCGCCCTGGCCCGGTTGGCGCGCGACGGAGGATTCTGGGTACGTATCACCGATCCTCTTGGGCCAGAACGGCGACGTTGACCCGTGACCATCTAGATCATCCTGCTGATCCGGTTCTCGGTCATCCCGACCCATATCTCCACGGCCGTCTTCTCGACCACCGATGTCAAGTTCTGGCATTTCGCGATGGCTACCTTCCTCACCTCCCCCAAACAGATCACCATCGTCTACGTTGGAGTGCTCTTGACGCAGGAGAGACAGGATCCGTTGGTCAACGGCCTCGTGCTCGTGGGTACCCTCGCGGTCACTCTGGTAGCTGGCGTCTACATATACATCCGGATGCGCAACATCAAGAAAGACATGCGAGAACAGCAGGAGGCCAAGCTGGCCGAGAAGAAGAACGAACAGGAGCGACAGGCGCAACTGGAGCGACAGGCTCAAGAACCGCAAAAATACCAACCGCCGCAGCAATATCCGCCGCAGGAGGTCGATCAGTATCGACCCACGGAGCCTGCGTCTTTCTGATCTCGGGAGCGATCGATGGCAGCGGAGCGAGGCTCGTGGTCTGTTGTGACCCCCCGTCTGGGATTCTCTCTGCTGTATTGTGTATTGTGCCACCCCGGCTCCCGGCTGCTTCTTGTTATTTCGCGGGGGGTCGTTGGCTGGAGCCTGGGGCGGGAACAAACGTGGGCTGTGCCTGGCACGTCGAGACGATATTATTGCCTGGTCGCAACGGCGGGGTCCGAAGATCGTCGGAGGGGTATGAGAACGGAACGGAATAGACCGACATGTGTTCTCAGAGATACCCACTAGGGTCTGCATCACGGCGTTGATTACGGAGTTTTTTTGGATTTTTTTTGGGGGTTTTTTTTTTGTATTTTTATCTTTTTGTATTTTTTCTACTTTTTTATTATCGGATACGGCGGACCGGGACAGGACTGGGAAAATCTATGGCCGAACCAGAAGTATTACTTAGATATTTGGATGCAAATCGAAGAGAAAAAGGGGGGGGGGGGAGGGGTTTATTGAACCTCGACGGAAGTTTTCTACCTTAACCCACCTTAATAGAGCACGTGCTGTACAGTAGCCCTGGCTCTCACTCTTTTCGCTCTTTTACCTCTTTCCTCTCCTCTCGCCACACCGGGGGGGCTTGCCCATTCGAAGCCCTAAAAGCCCGTGCAAGCACGTGTACCGGTATGCATGCGTGCATGCGTGCATGCTTTGCATGGCATGCACTGTCTGTGTCTGTCCACATGACCCCAGCCGCGCGACGATACTTACCACACCATACTACATTATATCCGAAGGCGTCACGTCACGTCATTCCCATCTCTCGCTCCTTTGTTCTCCCCAGCCACGTTGGCGATTGCGGGGAAAGGGGAAAGGGGACCGATAAGTACCGGTACTGGTACAATAGTAAGCACGTAGTAAGCACGTCATTTAATTACTACGGAACTACCTAACTACTATTACTGGTATAGTATTGACTACCGACCGGTACATTTGCCCCCATTCCATTCCATCCCTATCCCTATCCCGCTCCATTCCAGAGTGGGGCAGGCGAAGGAGGAAGGGGAAAGGGGAAAGGGGGAAGGGGAAAGGGGAGACTTGGGTTGGGTGTCTCAGATGCGATGCGATGCGATGCGACGCGACGTGACGAGGAAGGAGCTGGGAACAGCTCAGCTGAGAGAAGAAGAAGAAGAAGAAGAAGAAGAAGAAGAAGAAGAAGAAGAAGAAGAAGCCTTTGGCTTTTGGCATTTGGCCTTTGGCATTTGACTCGATCGCGCGACGGCGGGATGTAGTAGTACATACCTACTGGTACATTCATCCATAGGTATGTAGTAATAACTATCCCTCGCCCCTCCTCCCTTCCCTCTCAGCGCGTAGGGACCTACGTACGTAGTGAATCCAGTAAGTAAATCCAGTAATAGTGGGCCTTGACGTCGCAACTTTTGGGGCCCTTCCCTAAAATGGGCGAAAAAATTATGTCTCGCGAAAAAATTATGTCCCGCTTCAACGCCAAAAATCGCGGGGAACGTAGACACTTCAATAACACTTCAACACAACATTTTCCATCAAACATTGACTTACGTACCCAAATAAAAATAGGCAAAAAACGCGCGCGCGCTCTTGCACCTCCTGATCCTAATTCTGAATACCAGAAGCTCTTAAAAGCTTCTTAATATAAGCGAATACAGCTAGCATTCGAATGGCTCTTCGAAAACCCTTTCGAAACACTTTTTACTGCGAGTCGCATTTATATAATAGAAAAGCCTAATACTTTAAAGCGAAGATAGAATAAGTATCAAGCTAAATAAGCTCGATTAAAAGAAAGGAAAGCGCTATAAGTAAAGAGGCCTATAGTTCTATCAGCAGCATAGCACAAAGCTGTTTTAATCTACGCCGCAGATCAAGCAACTAAAAGAAGGAAAGGAGCTATTAAGCGTATGCTTTATCGATGTATTTGCTACCTTAAAATACAAGAAAATAAGCTAGAACCTTCTTAGCGTTAGTTTCAATCTTGATTGAGAAATATAATAGAACTCTATGCTATACGAACCAAACCAATCGCATCTCATCGCGTCGATATGCATATCGAGAAATCTCTTTCTAATTAGTTCCATATCGAGCTTGTTTTTGCTATCCAGTTTTGCGGAATTAAGCCTAAAGATAAGCATAGAATCGCAAATATAAATGAGAAAGGCGCGCGGATTTGTATGCCGGCTAGAAAAGAAGTTATCGTACTTATCGGAATCAAAGAGATATATATAAAAATCTATAAAAATCGATTATCCGTAACTGTAATCGAAGCTATTCTTGCCGATAGAAAAGCTATTCCTCTAATGATTATTATGCTCGGAAAGCAAATTATAGCGTCTTGGTTTTCCGAAAAGATAATTAGATATAAAGTTGTCACTATTTCCGAATCCGATTATACAAACGATAAGATTATTATAAAGTGGCTTAAGCACTTTATTAAGTATACCGATCAAGGACTCGATAAATCGTAAATAATATTATTACTTAATGGTTAGCTTTGCTACGAAGCTTCAAATTTCATTTTATTAGTTAAACAAAATCGTATATAGCTTATTAAATTCTCTTTTTATTAAACTTATCTTTTACAACTTTTCGATATCGGCTGCTTTCGTATTTAGAAACATAATCAATAATATACTATTATAAATGCTATTCGAAGCTTCGAAGCTAAATATATTATCTCATCGTTTATACGAGACCTTTTTTAAATTCGCGAGCAAACCTTTACAACTCGGAATATCAAATACGCTTTTCGAGATGCAAAAATGTAGCCGATCAGCTTTTCTTAAATTCAACGCAAATTGAAAGAGTATAATAAAAAGAGTAAAAAAGAAGCGGGATTGCATATACTCGAGTACGGAGAAACGTTTGATTTTAAAAAAGATAAATATTCTTTTTCAATCGATAAGCAACCTAACGAATTACCTTTTCTTGCGCTACCTCGACCTTTTTAATCTTTTCAAGATTGTGTAAAGCAATTCGACGATTTAAACGATAAGATTAAAATAGCTCTTTCTTCTCTTAACCGCTAACGCTTCGATATCGCGAAACAAAGTATCGAGACTTAATTGTTACGAAGAAGCTTTAATTAAGCAGAACTCGATAAAAATCAAAAGCTTTAGCGCGATACATATCGAAAAAAGCTAATTAAAAGGTCGAGTTTGCAAACGGAAAAGAATATACTAGCTTTTAAAGCATTCGAAAAAGTTAAGGCTATAAAAATAAAAAAGCAAGAAGCTAGTCTTAAGATAGCGAACGCTAAACTTAAGTTAGCAACGATTAAAATTCGAAACGATCGTTATAATCAAAGAGTTCTTAATCGGAAAGCCGAAAAAGAGCGAAAGAAATAGTTAAACGAAGCGTATAAGCAATAAGGTCGAAAGATTCTTATACACATTCCACCCGAACGAGAAGTCCTTATTCGAGACCGCGAAAAGCAACCTATAATAAAAGAACTAAAAGCTGATAATATTAATCTGATTTCTTTTCGAAACGCAATTGCAAACGAAGAAGCTGCGTTAAAAAAAGTTCAAAAAAGAAATCTTATTATATTCGCGGACCCTTCGTATTCAATCGATCTTTAAATCCTTACAAAAGAAAAACGCTTTCGAATTAGACAAAACCTATTATCTTGCATTCAAATTAGCGATAACGACGAAAATAAAAGATTAAATACTTTACCTTCGTCTCTTTTAGCAAAAATGATGCTTATTAGATAAGAAGAGCCTAAAAAAGAGCTTAAAGAGAAAGAAGATTCGATGTCGATTCGATCTATAGCATCTTTTAATTCAATTTAAAGGATACGCGGTGAAATAATTTTTTCGTAGCTTAATTAAAAATAAATAACATTATTAAATATATATATATATATATTATTGCAACGTTATGAGCAATGTTATAAGCAATATAAGTGTCTACGTTCCCCGCGATTTTTAGCGTTAAAGCGGGACATAATTTTTTCGCGGGACATAATTTTTTCGCCCACTTTAGGGAAGGGCCCTAAAAGTTGCGACGTCAAGGCCCACTATTAAGTAAATCCAGTAAGTAGATCCAGTAAGTAAATCCAGTAAGTAAATCCAGTAAGTATGTACAGTACGTACGCACGCACGTAAAGAATACCTACTTAGGAGGGAGCTTTCCGATTCCCGATCCAGACCCCCACCCCCGATTCCCGATCCGGATCCGGATCCGGATCCCAGAACCAGGGCTCTGGGAGAGATCACCGATTCTCCACTGCGCGGGGACGGGTGGAGAAGGGGAAGGAGGGCATTTAAGGTACCGTACCGTACAGTAAGGTACCGTTACAGTAAGGTACGTAAGGTAAGGTAAGGCAGGGTAAGGTAAGGCAGGGTAGAGAAGAGAAGAGAAAAGGGTGGTCTAGGTAAGGTAGCGTACCGTACCGTACCGTAGCGTAGTCCGAGACCCGAGCCGAGAGACTTGGGGGGTTTTTTAAGTGGAGCTTTTTTTTTTTTTGACGTCGCTTCGTGGAGTGGATAGATATAGGTGGTGTATGTACCGGTAGGTGTGTGTCTATATATATATATATGTGTGTGTGTGTGTGTGTGTGTGTGTGTTGGATACCTAGGTATGTGTATAAATAACGTCGAAAGCGATCCCCGCTGGGAGCGTCACGTCTTTTCTTTTCTTTTCTTTTCTTTTCACGTCGTACGAGGAGGACGAGGAGGACGAGGAGGACGAGGAGGACGCTGTCAGGTATTCCGAGGAACGAAGAAATATGTAGACGAGACCACCTGGTTGGCGTCCCGGCTCGTTGCTGGTGCGACTGGCTTGTGTGACCCGTCGGGTCCGGGCTGGTATGAGGGGGGGTGAGGTGAGGTGAGGTGAGGTGAGGTGAGGTGGGGTGTGACATCCCTCTCACCCTTTGGATGCCCTCCCGGGTGCAGCTTGTAGAGAGAGAGGTGAAGAAGGTGAAGCTGAAGCTGAAAGTAAACTCAGCGCGCACGCAGACAAGCAAAGCAAGCAAGTACCCGATGGATATCCATCTATCCATCCATCTATCTATCTACCTCCACAAATGGAACCCAAGTGCGTAAGGGCGAAACCAAACAAACTTGGGCAATGGCAAAAGTGAACCGCACAGTCGTCCATCACCGATTCCCATTCCCCAATCCCCAATCCCCAATTACCGGCAGAGTGACCGAGCTGTACGACACGACTGAAACCGTGGGTAGGTGAGGTCACGCTGTGTACACGTCGGTTGCCTGCGTACCGGGACCGAAGATCTGATATATATGTATATGTATATATATCGCGACCTGGGTGAAGGAAGTCCCAAGCGGCTCTCTGATGAGTTCGTTCGCGGGGATGAGAGAGGGGGAAAAAAAAAGGGGTGCTTCTGGGTGACTTTCCATGCTATGTTGGATAGACCAGGTCAAGTGATAAGGAGATCGGATTGATTGAGTATCTGTGAGTAACACGCGCTAGAACGAAGGCCGAATGAGAGATAGGGAGAGAGACAGAGACAGAGACAGAGACAGACGGGTAACACCGACTGATGTTCGCAGGATCTTCTCAATCTCCGGGTAGATGAGGATGGGCGATCCGCGTTCAGATAGCAGAGTCGGAGCAAGTAGTAGAAAAACAAAACGTGGTGCGAATCCGAATCCAACGTAAGCCGCAAGCGTACGGGACATGTCTGGCTTCTCGAAGACCGAATGTCTGTCACCTTGGCCATCGAGTCTGGACCATTCACCATTCGCCATTCACCATTGATCGCGGATTGACCTTGACCAGAAAATCTGTTCAGAGTCACAAGACGCAACCGGTGACACAGAGCTAGTCCAAGTCGCCGGCTCGCTTTCCTTTTCTTTGTTGTTCTCGGGATACAAGTAGCGTAGCCCGGCCGGCGCGTCACGTCCCGCTTCTGTTTTTCCCTCTCCACTCCCTCTCCTGCAACTTCAACTTCAACTTCAACCTCGACCTCGACCTCCATCTCAAGATCGATCTTAAAACATCCCACGACAGATCCCGACAAAACCCGACACAGTATAATACAAGACAATAGATCCTCCTTAACTGACCTTCACACCCTACGAAAAAACCCCGTCCGCGCAGAGACGCACCGTCGCAAATGGCGCTTGGTAACCTGGTCGGCACGGCCGACGTGGGCAGAATTGAAGCTCCGGTCACCATGAAGGCCTACCTGATGTGCGCTTTCGCCTCGTTCGGTGGCATCTTCTTCGGTTTCGATTCTGGCTACATCTCTGGTGTCATGGGCATGAAGTACTTCATCAACCTGTACACCGGTATCCCCATTCCCCTCCCTGGCGCATCGCAGGCCGAGAAGGATGCTTTCACTCTCCCCGCATGGAAAAAGTCCTTGATCACCTCGATTCTCTCTGCGGGTACATTCTTTGGGGCTCTGATTGCTGGTGACCTGGCCGATGTAAGTGCTCGCTCTACCCGTTCCGTCGCGCACACGCCGATGCGTCCACGTTCGTAACCTTGGAGACTAAACATGTTTGCTGACTCTCTGTAGTGGATTGGTCGTCGGGCCACCATCATCGCGGGCTGTCTTGGTATGTAGTTGAAGAGCTCATTCCTTCCTATTCCAGAATGTCTTAATTCGCCCTCCAATCGGGTCTAGGCGGTGACTGACCATCTGGTGTCCGACAGTCTTTATCGTCGGTGTTATCCTTCAAACTGCCTCTACTGGTCTCGGTCTCTTGGTTGCTGGTCGTCTCGTATGTACAAACCATCAGCCGCTTCGACCCATGTTAAATGAGGACTGATTTTTGTGAAGGTCGCAGGATTTGGTGTCGGTTTCGTATCAGCTATCATCATTCTTTACATGAGTGAGATCGCTCCAAAGAAGGTAGGGGATAGATATCCATACCCCGAGAATGCGGGGTATTTCCCTACTTTTTTGATTGCGCCGTTGCTGATCACTACTTTCCCAGGTTCGCGGTGCCATCGTCTCCGGTTATCAGTTCTGCATCACCATCGGAATCCTTCTCGCATCTTGCGTTGACTACGCGACTCAAGAGCGACTCGACACCGGCTCCTACCGCATTCCGATCGCAATCCAGATGTTATGGGCCATCATCCTCGCCATTGGTCTCTTCCTCCTGCCCGAGTCGCCCAGATACTATGTGAAGAAGGGTAACCTTGATCGCGCTAGCCATGTCCTGGGCCGTCTTCGTGGTCAACCCGAGGGATCAGAGTTGTAAGAAAATTCGGGCTACAACCCCATCTCTTTTCTTTCCAGCGTCTCATGAGTATTCTGCGCTGCTCCTGAATTACCCCCAGAGACACTCGGATATGAAAGAACATCTGCTGACTGCTCGACCATCCAGTATTCAACAGGAGCTGGCTGAGATTGTTGCAAATTTCGAGTATGAGCAGTCGGTAATTCCACAAGGCGGATATTTCAAGACCTGGATGTCCTGCTTCACCGGCGGCCTTCGCATGCCCTCCTCCAACCTGCGCCGAGTCATTCTCGGCACCTCCCTTCAGGTAAGCTTTCGCTGCTCGAAGCCCCAGTGGGATGCTGCCCTCTACGGCTTTGCAGCCCCGTGAAACTTCCGAGGAAGCCCGCGTGCTGACTTTTCTTGGGTAGATGATGCAACAGTGGACTGGCATCAACTTCATCTTCTACTTCGGCACCACGTTCTTCCAACAGCTTGGCACGATCAGCAACCCCTTCTTGATCGGCCTCATCACCACTCTCGTCAACGTCTGCTCCACTCCCATCTCCTTCTGGACTATTGAGAGATTCGGCCGTCGTACAATCATGATCTGGGGTGCCTTGGGCATGCTGATCTGCGAGTTCATTGTCGCCATTGTAGGTGTCACCGCCGGTCGCGAGAGCCAGAACAACCAGAGTGCCGTCTCCGCCCAGATCGCCTTCATCTGCATCTACATCTTCTTCTTCGCCACCACATGGGGTCCAGGAGCATGGGTGCTGATCGGCGAGATCTTCCCACTTCCAATCCGCTCTCGTGGTGTTGCGCTCTCGACCGCTAGCAACTGGCTCTGGAACTGCATCATCGCCGTCATCACCCCGTACATGGTCGGAAAACAGAAGGGCGAGGCCAACCTGGGCTCTCGCGTCTTCTTCGTCTGGGGTTCCCTCTGCACCGCCTGCTTCTTCTACGCCTACTTCCTCATCCCCGAGACCAAGGGTCTCTCCCTCGAACAGGTCGACCGCATGCTCGAGGAGACCACCCCTCCCCAATCCGCCAAATGGGTCCCCCACGACACCTGGGCATCTCGCGCCGGCAACGTACGTATCAACCACCCTGCTGAAACCCAAAGAAACACGCCCCAAAAGAGAACATAACTAACTTGCAAAAATAAAACCAAAAACAGGTCGACAGAGAGAAGATCCCTGCCCACGGCAACGTAAGCAAGGTCGACCACAGCGAGCATCTCGATGACGAGACCTCTTCTATCGTCTAAATCTGCGACTTTTGCGAACCCGCGGTCCTTCTAGTAACTGTACGGGCTGTCCCCCCCCCCCACTGGGACTCAGCATGAAACGAAGGCTTGTGCATACGAGTATATGAACGGATGGATGGATGATGGATCGAAAGACGGATAGCTAGTAGGCTAGTATCACTTCAATAGTAGTCGCTTTCTGCTGTAATCTTTTCTGTGCCCTCCCCCTCCTGCAGTGAGGTAGATGTGTGTGTGTGTATGTGTATCTGTCCTGTCCTGTCCTGTTCTGCTCTGCTCTGTTCTGTGACCACCACTGGTGATATTACGCGAAATGGACAAAAAAAAAAAAAAANACCTGACACTTCAAGACATGAATAATGGCGATGGCATGCATGCATGCACGCAACTTTCGATACGATACGATACAATACAAACGAGACGAAAAAGAGATCGAAACAGAGATAAAACCACACCCATCAAAACCCACCACCACATAGGAATCGCCTGATGGGATATAAGTAGGTAGGTAGGTAGGCACCAAGCAAAGTAGACGACGACGACGAAAAAAAGGAAAGGAAAGGAAAAGAAAAGAGAGTGTTTGAGACAGGGAAAAGTCTATCGTGGTGAGAATTAGTAAGTAGGTAGGGCGCGAGAGATGGCTTTTCGATGGTGACGTATATATATAGGTATATATAGTAGGTAAGGTAGTATTATATAGGTAGTGCTAAACCCAGACGATCCGATCCGATCCGATCCGACCGGGTCCGGGTTTGGGTCCGGGGCCGGGGCCGAGGCCAGGTGCACACTTCTACAGTACAAGTAGTACCGCCTGGGACGTACCGGTAGTAGGTAGGTACCGTAGGTAGCTATCCGCTAGGTAAGGTCGGTGCTAGGCTTGATGATACGATCGATGATAAATAATACGATCGATAATGAATAATACGATCGATAATAAATAATACGATTGATAATAAATAATACGATCGATTATAATAATGACAACAAGTATCTAGGAAAGCCGTGAGTAATCCGATTAAGTAAGTAAGAGAGAGACAGTGAGAGAGAGACAGTAAGAGAGAGACAGTAAGAGAGAGACAGTAAGAGAGAGACAGCAAGAGAGAGAGAGAGAGAGAGAGAGGGCTTCACTAGCGTCCATGGATAAGTGAGCAAGTGAGTACCGGTATGTACGCACATACGCACATACGTACACACGTACACACTGACTGACTACTGACTACCTAACATTTGTTCTGCAGCTCTTCGTTGTCTTGCCATCCTTTCTAATGGGGAAGGCTCCAACCTTCGAGTCTACCGTCTCCAGATTTGAGGTTGATGAACATGTGCAGGTACAAGCCGGGTAAGGTCTATTTATCTATCTATGTATCGATCGATCATTCATTCACTCGGAAGAGGAATTCTATCTCATCTCATGTCATCTCCATGAAACGCCGCGCAGGCATCCAATCGTCGCTGCCAAAAAATGCACCCAAAAAAAAAAAAACAGCGCGCCCAAAAAGATGACCCATTCCGTATATATGAGCCGACCGAATACACCCATGTCCAGCCACGAACTCTAGTCTATCCTCCGCCCTCACTCACCACCGGTAGAATGGGCATACCCACCACCAAAATCGCCTCCGGAACCCATTTCCGTCAGCCTCAACGCCTCGCCGACATCCGAGACGAAGTGATCCTTGCCGCCGCACAGCTCCAGGATGCCGCTCCGGCGGAACAGCTCGTAGATGGGCGTCCCTTCCGCGGGCCCACGGGAAAAGAAGACTCGCACGCCGCGGTCTCGGTATTTGCGGACGATCTCTTCGAGGACCTGCGTTCCGGAGCCGTCGAGCCCGGTGACACCGTGGATGTCGAAGATGACGTTCTTGTTGTGCTCCGGGGAGCGCACGCGAGGTAGAGCTGGGTGAGCACTCGTCGTCCCGTAAAGCTCAAGCCGTCGGAGACGATTCTTCAGTTCTCCAGTGTTGGCGAATGTCAAGGGCTCCGGAATCTTAACTATCAAGCAGCCTTCGATGAACTCCAAGTGATCCTCAGGCTTGTCTTCGGCGTTTTCGAAGCGGTTTGTTCCTGGTATCCTGCCCAGGATCTGGATGCGTGGTCGGGTGCTGTGCTTGATGACGGAAAGGAGGGACAGCCCTACTCCGATTGCCATCCCCAAGGTAAGAGAGTAGAAGATTGTTGCTGCGAAGATAATGATCATCAGGCCAAGCTCCGTGTATCCCCGGATCTTGATGAAGAACATGATATCATGTGGAGCTTCTTCTATAAGAGACCATGCTACGACAGTGATCATAGAGCTTAGAACAGCTTTCTGTTACAGCTGTCAGTCGAGCCGATATAAAGATCGAGGACAACTTACGGGAAGGTAGTGAAATGCCGGTAGCAGAAACAAGACACACAGAACAGTGATTATGCTCAGAAAAACGCTGCTCATCGGCGTCTTGCCTCCGGTACTCGCATTCACTTTACTTCTTCCGTAGCCACCAAAGGCAGGAAGAGCACCGAAGCATCCACCAACCAGGTTCGCAACACCCAACGCAACAAGCTCGCGATTAGCACTCAATGCGATTCCCTGAATCCCATCCTTTCCATCCCCACCGCCGAGACTCTTAGCAGCTACGGACGATTCGAAGAAGCCGAGCATGGCGATTAGAAATGAAGTTGACATTGCTTCTTGGATATGTTTCATGTGAGAGATCTGGAATGGCCATCTGAAAGTGAACGGACTCCCAGCAATCGTTTTGACCTCCCCCAGGATCTCGAGTCCCTTCTCGTCCCATCGCAATTGCCAGGTCAAGACCGCTGCACACACAACGACAAGAAAGCGATCTGGGAAGTACGCAACGTTAGGGTAGCGAGGTTGCATTCGCTTCTTCATTTCTCTGCATTTTGTCAGCGTCATGGTCTGCAGAGCTCACCAGGAGTTTTAGCGGACCTGAAAATCATGATAATCAAGAAGCTCACACCTGCAACAGTCGCGGTGATCTTAGAGGCATGCTGGAAGTTTCCGAACAGAAATTCCAGTTTGGCCACACTGCTGCCGTGACTTACGCCACTCTCCTCTGCCAGATCCGCCAACCCCAACTCTGGGATGAGCTGGTCCGCCATAATGACAAATCCAATGGCGGAAATAAAGCCTCTCAAGAAAGGCCTACTCAGAACACTGTCCAGGAATCCCAACCGGGTGAGGCCAGCGATGAAAATCATTGCTCCGGCCAGTCCCGTCACAACTCCCGCAATCCTGGCATGTATTTCGTCGTCGTCCTCTGGTGTTTTCCCACTATCCACACTGGACCTTACTACGGTGCCGACCAAAAGACTACCAGCCGCCTCAGGACCAACCACCATCTGTGGACAGCTACCAAGTATCGCATATATGAAGGGATTGAAGACGAACGAGTATAATCCATTGATCGGCGGTATGTGGGCAAGATTCGCAGCATACGAAAGGGCCATAGGCAAGTAGAAAGATGCCATGGTGAGGGCAGCCACAAGATCCCCCTGCAGATGCACCCATCTGTATTGTGGGATCCAGGCAAAGAAGGGAACATAATAAGTCAGGTACCTGTGGAGGCGCGGAGATCAGCAGATATTTCGAGGAATACCAATGATTCTCCACCAGACGTACATCGTTTTTGTATTCGTGATTCCATGCCGCTCAGCCAGATAACTCGTCGTGCTCATTTTCTTGTTCGGCCTCATGACAGCAAACATGCTCCTGTATGCCCCTCCGGCGCCCTCTCCAGAGTCCGTTCTCCTCGGAGGGGATCCTCCAAAGCCAAATCCACTGTTCGCGCTCCTCACGCTGTCCGCCCGGCTCTCGAGTCTGGGGGAGAACGTCCCATGGTTACATGGCTCGGTATGCGCAGGCGTGCTAGCTACGTACTCGAAAGGCTTCCTCAGGAGAGCCGTAGTCTCCGTTATGGCCTGGCTCCCAGTCTTATTTATACCCTGCGACTTGCCATCAAGGCTCTGCTCGTCCGCGTCAGGCTCGTAGTCGAGTTGCGAAGGGTAGGTGAGCGGCGATGTCACCGAGCTGGGCCCTGCCTTCCCGACATCCTGAGTATCGCCTGGATCTCGCACGCCTTCTGGCGACTGGGTCAATGTTGACGATTCCCGCAGACCGCTCGGTGTGGCCGGGGCATGGTGTTGAGACTGGCTGACCGAGGGGTGTCGAGAGGAGCTGCTCGAGGAGGCTTGAGGGGAAGTCGAGCTTCGAGACATGCTGCTGATATGGCAGGTCTAAGGTCTATTCGAGGAATGCATATACTCTGTCGACACATCGATCTGCAGACGGAAGCATACAGAGGGCCGTTCTGGGAGGGTTTCACAGCGTCGGGTTCTTGGTCCTTCGTATTGAGCTGGTTTGCTTGTTCTGAGGTGCCAAGAGGCATAACATTATAATGCCTGCGGACGATCATGAAAGGTAATATCCTAATATCGACGGCGAGGTTGAAATATTATCATTACATACCAGCACACTTTGTCTTCGCCGGGATAATACTGAGAGTCGAGTTGCCCAGCTGCCACAAGATGAGACGGGAATGGTCGTGTGGGTGACCAATAAGTGCATGTCTTGATGCATCAACAAAAGCTTATTTGCTTTAGTGCAGCTGTATGAGCATGGCTGCATGAGCTTCCCTTACGAAGTCTATATATATACTATATATATACTCTTTTCATTCCAGAAGCGACTGTCGATATGCAACTACGAAGCAATATGCGAAATTTGAAATAAATGATTACAAAACTTCTCAACGTTTGAGCGGTTCTGACGCAGATATCAGTGACACCGGCATTGCGCAGCTGATCGTCGGTTGCCTTAAACTTAATTCGAGAAAAATTGATCCGACTCGCCACGTCGGGATTTTTCACAAATCAGATCTGAGGTAACCGACGATTACTAGCATAGACTTTTGGAACCGGGTCCGGGCCAAAGCCAATGAGAGTATCTAGCGGTATCCGCAAGCCATATCAGAAGAGGAGTGTGACCAGTACTGAAAGTGGAGTGCACCATGGTGACTTAGACATACTACGTAGCTGCTATCATTAATCCGAAGCGGAATATCTACATCACACCTAGGACACTCACTTGGCTTTGGACTCTCCATTAGACGGCAAACTTGCGCACAAGCATCACAATAACGAGGGCAGTTGAAACTCTAGGAGTTCGACGCGACTGCTACTAAGAAAATAATCCAAAATGTTTTCAAAGGCGGCTTTGAGGAGAGGAACTCAAGGTACAGCTTTGGGTAAGTTTCATCGGGGTTAAGAGAGCCAGAGGAGAATAAATGCTTGCGGACAGATCCCTTGTGATTAGCGACTTTGAGTGTGAAATATACAATCATCTCAAGTATAGTCTCAGCTAGGGCCTCATACGCGGCGAGACTTGACAAGATGAAGATGGTCATTATTAGAGGTACCCAGTGATAGCCGTGGCAATTCGGGACTTGACTTACTGAAGCAGAGGAAGATCTGATCCAGGCTTGAAGCGCTAGCCACGCGCGGAGCTTTATTGAGGAAAGGGATTCAAATACCGATTACGAAGAAGACTGGTCTTACGTGGTTTGATGGATGGATGCAGTTCAGGTTCTAAGAATGCAGAGGCGGTTGTGATCCTCTCAGACCCCCTCCCCCCCGCCAAAAAAACCGGTACTTGAGAAGGCATGTATTCAATGGAAAAGGTGCCGAGATACAAGCATGACAATTATACAATAGTTTCCACCAAATATGGTCCCCGCTAGCTCTCTATACAATCACTCCACCATAACCAGGCCCTTTTCAGCAGGAACATGTTCTTTGAAGACAGTGTGAGCCTTGTACCACGCATGATCTGTACCCAAAACCCGCACCGATGTACACGATTCAAAGTCAGAGATAGCACCGACGACAGTAGTGACAGGAACCAGGACGGAACTAGCCACATATTCGATGATCGACTTCCAAGTCTTCTTGAGGATAGCCCGTTCCGCCAGCAGGCTTCTAGATCCGCTCAGCTTCTTGTAGAATTCCTTATCGGGCTCTGAGCTTATGCTAATGTCCAGGAACTTGACTCCGAGGGCAGTCCAGGTGTCCGAATGGCCACCTGTATGCATTAGCGCATAGGCGCATCCAATGCTAGTGATGCAAAATCTGTCTGCAGCAGAATTGAAGTAGAAGGGAGTTGTGAGTCTGCCGGAGCGAAACACCTTGTACGACTTGAGAGAGATCTCACGGCATTCCTTGTTGACGTGAAGTATGGCTGGTGGTGGGCTTGAGACCTTGCACCAAGCTTGGGTATTGCGCTCGGTGGAGGATGATTCGTTGCGGCGATCGCGGGCGGTGGTGATACCCGTGTGGGAGACTTCGACATCCGAACCGTCTTCGATGAGAAATTTCAAGATCATGGCGCGAAGCTCCACTGGCAATTTGCGGAAGCGCTGGAAGGCCACTGCTGGGGCCACAAAGCACTCTTCAGTCTCGGGAGTCGAAGCATCTTGAGCGGGACTTTGGGTAATAGTTTCCGGGAACTGAGATGTGTGTTAGAGCTGAGAGACACAACGACTACCGGCTACTTACTGCTGGCAAAACAGAATCTGGGTCTGCCAGAATTTCCGAGGCAAGTTCAGACGGGACAGTCTTTATGATAGTTGCTGGCGACTTTGCCATGTTAGAAAGAGACTTGCGAAGGATTTGGTTATGACCTACTCTTAGCGACAGGGGAATGAACCTAGTACGCACTGGCGACGGACTTGGGCTGATGGATAGGATGGAATTGCATCGAGCGCGGGCTGACAGCGTATTGGGACTTCTGGATTGCAGAGGAACGAATTGAGTACGTCTCGGGGGGGTGCAAGGGACAGCCTGGGGTTGCGTAGTCGTGGGAGTGGTCATGTTGAGGTTTTTCGAGACCTGCTCGAATCGTCAGAATTGAGGTCCACAGAGAGCATTCAGTCACTTACAGTTGGTAGTACAGAAGTAGCTGATTTAATAAGGGAACAATTGGTCGGGGCCGCTGGGAGAGAGAGCAAAGCAGTGCGTAGTTCGCGGTGAAGATGGTTTGTCGTCGGTTGCGTTGAAGAAATTTTCGAATGGAAGAAAAAACTTCATGAAGAAGATATACTAGTGTTGTGCGCTAATACTGTATACGAGTATGATAGTTCAAGGACAGCGAGGTGAATTTTGGCGGTGGCTGGGGGTTAAAGTTGAAGTCGTCGCCATCTCGCGAAGACATTCACTCCGCGGGTTAATTAGGCTGGTTGGCGACGAGCGCAGCCGATCACCTTTCAGACCTTCCAACGACTCAGCTCGCCTAGAGGAGAAAGACGGAGATACGCATAGATGACAGTGTCAGCAGCCAGGACGTACCTTCCGCTTTCGGGCAGGGAGGTACATACATCGTACTGTACATCGAACACGCGAGAGCCTCCTACAACATAGTCACGGGCAAAGCTCTAGCCGACTAAATCTCGGATACTATGACCGTTTTAACGAGGATCAGATTGCCGGAGTGTGCAATTTGCTTCAATATCCTCCAAAACGCAGGATGACAGCAACTTTGTCTGAAATATGGGAGACCAAGTTAAAATCACACTTATCCCTATGCAATTATATTAGACTGTGAGGAACAAACTGTCATCATACTTTGAGCGTGGATGCTCAGTATCTCTACCTATACCCAACCCATTCCAAACCTCCGGGCAGCCGACTGTATATGGGCTGCGCATGTAGGCATATATATACACCCTCAAAACCTCAGAGGGCACGTGGACTAGCATTCATGTGGGCCCAGGGGAACAGAAGAAGATCGAGAAATCAGATCATGCCCCCCACGGACAACACAGTGTATAACATAGTGTATAGTTCTTCTGAAGCAAGCTGTCAATCGCTGTGCACTAAGAAGGTACCAGGGACTGAACTCACCAGCAAACAGCAATAGCAAACAGCAAACAGCGGCATGGCATGCATAATTAGTGCAGGCGGCCAATACCGAAAGCTCGTTTCCATATCAGCCTGCATTGTCCACGCCGATAGATTTGGTCCCTTCAAGGGCCCTGATCCAGGTATGCCTCGATACCAACATTCTATATATACTGTAAGGGAAACATGCTTTCCGATCTTGCTGAATGTTCCAGCTTGGAGGTTCATTGGGTAATGGCATCAACCTTTCCCGCGAGCGGGTGATGCTAATTATTCTTTGAAACTAAGGCAATCGCCGGTTTCCAGAGTATGATACGTAATATTTCCTGGTCACATCAGATTCTATAGAAGACACACTTTGAAAGCCAAAGATTAGTGTGCAGTGATCACAAAGGACCAGGTACATTTGAGGTATGAGCAGAGATCACCTTTCTCCCATGTTTGATATGATAATCTGACTGGTCAAGTAACCAAGCCCATGATCGAGAACACAGGTAACCCTAACAGTCCACAGGCCATCGTTTCCTGGATTTGGGCTTAACCAGATTTTTGGTTCGATGAGCGAATGTTCGCAGATGGCAACATTAATGGTGAAGTGAAGATCGTGGTACCCGACGATGCAGAGGACGAGAGCGGCAGTACGACGAGTCCACTCGGGTACGGGCTCTGGGGCTACGAGCCTTTGGTGAGCTTTCTCCAAGACAAGTATCTTCAGCCATTGCTCGTCAACGAAAAGCAGGTAGGTTCAGCTGTGGCACAATCTCTCAGCTGAGTCCATCGTATTCTGACTCTTCATCCAGCGAGAGGAAGCCCGAGCATGTTGGCGTCATAGATAAATGCGTTCCATGGTGAAGCGTCACAGGTAGACCGACTATAAATAACCAGAAGGTAGAGCTGTCAATCTTTCTGGCATTGCATTGCATTGCCCTGTAGACCATGACATTTCTTCCCGGGTGATTTGGTTTGATTGCCCAGACGTCTGTCCAGACACGTGATATAATCCCGCCAAGTCACGTGGTGTGGCCCAGCCCCACGGAGCTACCTTGCTCCATTTGCGAACGTGAAATTTTCTTCTCTGACCGCACAACCTCTTCTTCACTTCTCTTCGCGACTCTCAGTCAATACAACACAGCTTAATTTTGCGCAATGACACAGGTAGGTGCTGGCCACGGCTCTTGCAAGTGCGAATGCCTCTTCCTCGATCCAATGTGATGTCGAACGATATCGCAGGCCAGCAAGATGCTCCCACTTTCGCATGCTCATCATCATCGACCGGGTGCTCGGCCTAATTCCATCCTCTACCTACTTGCAATTAGCCTGTCGCCTTCTCTTCCCTTCTCCTCCCCATCTTCCCCATCTTCCCCGCCTTCTTACCTCATTCCATCCGAACCAGCCACTAACCCTCCCTACCTACTCGTTCACTCATTCGCATTGTACCGGATTGTACTCGAGACTCTCACATTGCAGCCCTCCCTCCCATTCTGCCTCATTCATTCACTACCACGACAATCATGAGGTCGAACACCATACGCTCTGCACTGCATTTCCAGCGCAGGGCCTACTCCGCAACAACGGGCAGACGAGCACAATGGGGCTTCATAGGCCTGGGGCAAATGGGTACGTGAAACAAAACGCGCCCGCGACTCTCCGAATAGCCTCAGTTCTAACCAACAATGACCACAACAGGCTACAACATGGCCCGGAACCTGCAAGCCAAGCTCCCACCCTCCGATACCCTTCGAGTCTACGACATCAACAGTGTGTCAGTCGAGAAGTTTGCAAATGATACAAAGGCGTTATCGGGTGGAGCTTCAGTTCACGTTGCGGCCAATGCCCGAGAAGCTGCTGAGCATTCTGTGAGTGTCTGGGACACACCCAATTCCTCTTATCAATCTTTATATGATGAGTTTGTCCACCCATGATCTAAGTTGGGGTCACTCGTCTTGGGTGATCTTTTCATGATTTTAATATTTATACAACAAAGCCAATCCTCTGATACTTCTCCACTCAATTCAACTGTTATCTCAAGTCGTCGTACTGGCCGAGACTAACGGCATTCTCAAGGCAACAACGATCACTGTTCTGCCCGATTCCGTACATGTAAACAATGTTATGGGCCAGATCCTCAAGCCCCCGCTCTCCGAGTCTGTCGTCGCCAACCCCGATCGTCTATTCATCGATTGCTCTACAATTGATCCATCCTCGTCACGAGAAGTTGCCAACGCCTTCCACGCCACACAGCAGGGAAAGTTCGTTGATGCACCCATGTCTGGAGGCGTGGTAGGAGCTGAGGCTGGTACTCTCACTTTCATGCTTGGCGCAGCTGACTCGATGATCTCTCGAGTCGAGCCAGTTCTAATGATGATGGGTAGAAAGGTTGTACATTGCGGACCGCAAAGTGCTGGCTTGTCTGCAAAGCTGGCAAATAACTATCTTCTAGCTATCAACAACATCGCTACGGCAGAGGCCATGAATCTCGGCATGAAATGGGGTCTGGATCCCAAAGTACTAAGCAACTTGATCAACATCAGCACTGGAAAGTGCTGGCCAAGTGAGGTCAATAACCCCGTCAAGGGTGTCGTGGATGGGGCTCCTTCATCCCGAGATTACAGCGGTGGCTTTGGTGTGCATTTGATGAGAAAGGATCTCAACCTAGCAATCACTGCTGCTGCTGAGGCTGGTGCAAGACTAGAGCTCGGTAACAGAGCGAAGGAGGTCTATGAGGCAGCCGAGCAGCAGGAGGATTGCAAGGGAAGAGACTTCTCTGTCATATACAGATATCTTGGCGGGGCAGAATAGGCCGCTCGCCTCTTGCTTGTATCTGCGGAATAGCGTTGGACTTACGTAGCGATAGCAGGCCGTGTTGCATGATAGATAAAGCGGGCTTTACTCAGCCAATGTGACGACCATAATATTTCCTCGATCGGAATCGAAGGTCAGGCTTAAAACTGGCCGGGCTTTGTTATTTCTAGCCCGCTTCGTCAAATTATAATTGCCTCTACCTGGAGTTAGGCGGTTTGCATCAAATCAAATCGCATATAGTGTTCGCCATTCACGCGAATCTACTACAATATCCTGAATTATCATCAGCGATCCAGATATTTCAGATATTTCAGATATTTCAGATATTTCAGATATTTCAGATATTTCAGATATTTCAGATATTTCAGATATTTCAGATATTTCAGATATTTCAGATCTCAGTGATATCCTAAAGGTAGAAGAGGCTGGCAGCCTCACTATTACTTGCGACTGGCTCAGCTTCATCCAGGCACTTGTTCTCTGCACCTCATATGAAATTCCCTGGAGTATAGTATAGTAAGTCGGCCTTTACCATTCCAGTCCTCAGGTTAGGTATTCATTCGATTGTGAAAAGCCAGTTCATGAGCCAGATAAAACAGCAGGCAGTGAACGAATGAATGATCGCGCCGCGCAGCATTTACCTGCGTCGATCCGAGGCCCACAGCGAGAGAAAGGGAAAGAGAAAGAAGATAGATACAGCGACATCTAGAAAGATAGAAAAGCATGCATTAAAACGAAAGGAAGCATCACTCGCCTACCGTAACAGATGGTATCTATCTATCTATTATTATTCCCTTGTGAATAAATATCTCTGTTTCAAAATCAAAATCAAAATCAAAATCAAAATCAAAATCAAAATCAGGATCAGGATCAGCATTAAAATCAGTCCTCCCTCCTCACTCACTACACCAGCGTACTCCTGAGCTTTCATTCATTCATTCATTCATTCATTCATTCCTTCATTCGCCTCGCCTCTCCTCCCCTCCCCTCCCCTCACCTTGCTAGTCAGTACCGGTATAGCAATAACCTGCCTCCGTCATGCGGCGAATGCACGCAGAGGGATACCGGTATATATATATAATCGACGCGGGCGGGCTTCTCTTTCTAGGACGGGGGGTTTTTCTTTCTTTGCGGGTTTTGGCTGGGTTGGATCACCTCTACGCTTTTGGTGGGTGGGGGGAGGGGAGGAGGGCTTTCTTTGGTTCTTCTTCGTTTTCGCTGGATTTTTACCTAGTCGGGAGGAAGTAAGTCGCTTGCTTGGCTTTGTTTTTTTTTGTTTGGCTGTACTGGGGCTGGGTTTCGGTTGCTGTTGCTGGTTGGTGATTCTTGAGATTGGGAGAGTGCAGTAGTACCTAGGTCGGGAGAGAGAATGTTGGAAGCGGTGGATCTGAAGTAGTAGTAGAATAAAGCTCAGCAGTAGTCATGATTTGGATTCTGGAAGTAATTGTACATTGATCAATGTCAAGTCCTATAACCCCGTTCCATGCACTCACTGTATGCATGCAGAGCCCCAGAACGCCGATGGAATTTCTGTCGCTCACACAAAATCATCATCATATTTCATTTGTCATTTGGTATCGTTAACAACCACCATCTATTCATTACCCCCAGGAGATTTTTAATGCAGACGCTTCAGATTCTCGACAACATCGCGGATAGCTTCGACGGTGTATCCCAGCCCCTCACAGATCTGCTGCTGCATATCTTCGCTCTCGTCTAGGAATCGCTCTATCAGCTCGCCGTCTACGAAGCGGTAGGGTTCTTCGGTGGTGCGCTCGGCGCTCTTGAATGAGCGGTAGGTCTTAAAGTCGAGCCTGCCGAGTGTGTCAACGCATTCTGTTATATTTTCTTGCAGTCGCAAGAGGAGGTCTTGGGAGCCGTCAAGGATGGTCGAAAAGAGGTAGATTGAACCCTCGGTCTGTGTTTAAGTTAGTACGGTGAGAAGTTTGGTAGGGTAAGGAAACGTACAGTTGCCAGGAATGCCTTGGGTACAACCATGGCAGTTGGCGAAGGGTCTATCGCAATCTTGCGTATCATATTGACCTGCTCCCCGAGATTCATCTCTCCAGTGATCCGCAACCTCTGTTTATCTTCAAGTGTTATACCATCAATATTGCGCTGCAGTACCAACAAGTTCCCGTGATGATCACTCTCCAGCCATGAATTGTCGCCGATGTCCGTCACGGCGGTCCCCCAGCATGTTTGATAGTCTCTTGCTACCTGTTCCAGTTTATCCGGCATACCCTCTTTCCCCGGGGTATATTGCACTATCGATACAGATTGCATCATATCAGTTATAGCGATGATATTTTCCGTAATAGCAATGTCTATTGGGACAGTAGAGCTGCGGAAAGTGGCTAATTTTTTGAATTCGCCTGCCTTCTCCGTTATTTCGACGTACTTGAACATGGCGACAGTCTTGTTGAGTACCGCAACAATCTTGCCGTCAAGCATAGCAACACGTCGGCAGGCACATTTGAGATTCAGCGAGGCGACAAGATAGGGGTTCTTCTTTGGATCAATCCCGAATACAAGAATCCGACCCTTGATATTGGGGTCGGCAGATTCCTCATCAAGGAAGCTGGTGCCGACGATGAATCGCTCTGCAAGATCCTCGCGGGCGTTGAGAACCTCGGTGCGTATGATATATTCGATGAGTTCTGTTCCATTCTCGTCGTCGAGGGGAACCGGGTTGCCGACCTCGGCGAACTTCACGTCTTCGACAAGGGAGAATGTACTGGTGTATCTCTCTTCTTTATCCGCCATAGTGCGTTCGATGCAGCCAATTCCGAATGCTCGTTCCGCACCAGAGTAGGCTATTCTTCTCACCGTCTTCCCTATATGCACTGTTCGCACATGAGTTTGTCTCTCGTCGTCGATCTTGGAGATCTTTAAGGATCGCTGGGTAGCCACAACGAGGGAGCCTGGATATTCCTCGCTGTTGAAGGGACATGCACATTTAGCGTCGTCCGCCGTCACTGCTGAGTAGACGATTCGGCCTTCCGAGGCGTAAATCAGGGTAGGATGCTCGCAAGTAGCCAAGACATTGTTAAGTCCACCTTCTCGAGGTAACAGATGAAACTTAGCATGCTCCGTTCCAAGAACGAGGCTTTTTCTACCTGAGAGGGAAAAGGTCGATTTATCCACGTTGAAGGTCAAGACAACTCCATCTTCCATTGCGACAAATAGTGTTGGCCCGGCCGCAACCGCTGGAAGAAGCTGAGCCAATATAATATGCCTTGGAATGGAGGCGTTGTTCTTTCGTCGGAGATCCTCTGATAAGATGATTTCCAGGTTGCTGAGATTGAGAATCGAGATTGAGCCAGACTTCCAAAATCCGACGACTCCAATGTCAGAGAGGTTTCTTGGTACGTACACGCACGCAACTTGGTCTGCAGCCTCCAGAGGCTGAACTGCAACTTCCTTCAACCCTTGTCCAATGTCCAACGACACAAGAGTAGTGCCGCTTACCGAAACCAAGACGTAACTGTCATTCGCAGAAGCGTCCGTGATGTATTCTCCGGCGGGAGGCGTCCATTTCGCGGCCACGTATGACGGGCCAGGTCCCAAAATTTTGACGGAGCTTTCAGTAACTTGCAACATCATGCCATTTGAAAGACCTGATGCTAGCAAAGTCTGGCAATTCAGTTCTAGGCCTCTGAACTCAGCAACCTCCTCAATCTCTCCAAGGAATGTAAACACGCGAGTTTCTGTTGGCAATGAGACGACTAGAATGTCATCGAAATGTGTACCTGCAGTAGATCGCATAGAATAGACATCTCGAATATCCCCTATCTCGTCAACGAGGATGCCGATGTCTTCTAAACCCACACCACTCCGTACGCTTCTGAGACTCCCGCTTTGGAATGCGCCGCTGCCAGTAACCAAACGAGTCTGTCCCGTGGAGTACTCATTTGATTGACTCTCCCCCTCCCGGTTTCCCATGTCCATAACGGCAAGATCGAGGATAGGAGCTATATTTTGCATCGTCTGAATGATCGTGATATAGTGATCTTTGCGGTCGAGGTCGACTCTGATGACCTGTGATTCTGCTTCATGTGAACCAACAAAGAAGACGCCGTCGCCCAAATTGACCATCGTGGTAGCTTTTGAAATCGTACCCAGAAGCATCAGATCCATTCCCATCACTTCTCCGTCATGATTGCTTAATATGGAGAGGAGGTGAAGATTGCCATAGTCATCCCCAAGAAGGTACCGTTGGTCGTCGACTTTGACCCATGCAACGAAAATCGCCGCGTCATTTAACGGATAATCGAAAGCCGCTTTGCTCTCGTCATCCAGATATGTAAACTTCGTCTCGCCTACAACAACAACCCCACCAAGATGCGCCTTGGCCACTGTTGAATTGCGTACAATGTATCTCTTCTGGCCGGCATTCTTGGGAATCGGAATAAGATGACTAGCACCAGGGTCCAAGTCTGAAATTTCGTTTTCCCGATCCTTACTAGGATCGAATCTCGACAATGTGCCTTTTTCGTCCACCAATCTGTACGTCGCCATCCGAACCTCGCCCCCACTCCCATCCTCGAACAATAAGGCGATTTTGGGTTGTTGCGTCTCAGTGTATAGAAAAGTCGTCGCCCGCACCCTCAATTCGGTGATTCTCACCTGTTCGGGCTTGTCGAGGACATCCTCCCTGCCTTTTCGCGGCCTCAGAGGCTTGAAACAACTCAAGATTCCTTCAAAGAGCTCCAGCACCACATACTTCCCTGCAGGATCAACCAGGACCAAGTCCCGGCTCTGGGAATCGATCATGTGCCTCTCCGACACATCCACAAAGTTCTGTCTTGTTTCCAACGCTTGGGTCTCTTGATTGTAGGCAAGGGTGAAGTACTGGAAGCGGGAGGTGCCCACGAAGAGCTGGTCGGCGCTGTGGGCGATCTCAGGGCGAATTTTTGCGAGCATGGTGATGGTCCCGTAGATTGGTTTGGACGTAAGCATCGTAAGACTGCCATGTTCTCCGGATTGCCATATCTCTATCCGGTTTCCTCTCCTGCCAATAATTCAGTGGTTGAGGTTGGAGAGTTGGATTCGAGCGTACTTACCCAAGCACGAGGCATTCTTGATCCTCACTCACCAAGCACAGCTTCACCGCGTGCCGTACGCTGCTGGGCCGATGTATTGGGGCCAGATAGGACATTGTACAGCAGGTCAAATGATGTGAGAAATTGTTGCAGGAGTGATAGGTTCAACTGCAGGAAAACGAGCGATGAGGCCCCAATCCAAAGTTACTGAGTAGCCGCGGTCGCGTCTTCCTTATCGAGCTCCCATCTTTCGGAGTTAAGATCTGATAAGCCGAACAAACCATACGGCTCATATATACAGCTTCACCAGCACTTCCCCACGATTGCATCCCATAATCTATCGATCGTACAACCGTCATCGTCTGCACTACCTATCATCGTACCCGCTAGATCTCGAATCCCTATCCAGGTAGCAGCTTCATAACAACCCCCCGACTAGGACACTCTGCGGAATTCCTCAAATCGTCTGCACCAATACCTACCGGTATGCGACTGCAATCGCAAGCGCCCTCCAAGCCTCCGCTACCATCCCCGAAGATCTGGCCGTCATATCAACCCAATTAAGTCAACTTACAAACCAAGTCTTGCATAAGCAGATGGTGATCATGATAGAGCAGAACAAGACCTTTGAAAAGAGGAAGACATAAAGCTAGATAACTGCTAGATAACTAGCAGCAAAGTCGGAATGACTTGCAGCAAAGTACTACTCTTCGATTCGATATAATATACCGGTAGGGCTATCTCCCCCTTCTATCCCTTACGTTATATCATCTCGAATCGTACTGCAAACTTTCTATTGACGCAATACCGGTATACCACGCAGGTCTATTAATATCAACGCTTGTTTCTGCAACGCGAAATTAAAGAAGAGCACAGACCAAGTCCGCGAATTAGTGCATACAACAACAAGTAGCCTCCCTATCCCGAACTTCCCTAATACACCGGCAGCCTTAAATGGCTTGATATGCAAGTCAAAATGCATATATATCTTTCTCTCACCGAGACGGCCGTTATGATACTTTGCAACGCGTTCTGTTACTAATCGATTGGTTTCTAATAAGGCCGGCCCAGAAAGCGCTCCGAGAAAGCCTCGGCATCCTAACTCCCATTAGGTGGCAACGCACAAGGTACGAAAGACAGACATATTTCTGATCTGAGGGCGAACATTGGGTTGAGGCCCGAACGTTTGACGCCCGCATAAGTAGAATTTGATACGTGGTGGAATAGTTCCAGAAAGATGGACGGTCTTTGACTGAAGTCCTAAGTAAACACATCCGACTACCTTTATTGTTCCGTAGCAACTGCCTACAGGGAGGGAACGTCCTGAGAAATGCAATCGCGAATATCATTCCGATGATCGTACATACATAAATCGCTCATGAAGTCTAATCTGGGTATTTTCCAGCTCCAAGTGATGCGGGGTATCTTTTGTTTTTCCGGCCCGAAAATGCAGAAAGGAAAACCCGTCCCAAGTTTATCTCAAACTCCATATCCCGGCCTCAGCCGATTGGGAGAGATCCGTCTTCAGCCTCACTGTCAGTGTCAGATAACGAGGGGTCAGACATGGCGTCCAAATCATCGCTCTCAGCTTCATCTGCCTCAGTAGCCTTCTCCTTGCCTTTTCCCTTTGCCTTCTTCAGCTTCTGGTTCCTGGATAGCTTGGCTGCGTCGTTCGGCGCACTGATTGCGTTCATGTACTCGGCGTTATTTAAGGTGCTGGATAACCTAGGTACTTTATCGAGCAGTTCTTCGTCAATCTCAGTTCCGCCAGCGCCCACGAACAAATTGGCGTTGTAGCCAATCCATGTTTCTTCAGCGTCCTCGTCAACAAATCGGTGGCTCTTCCAAGCCTCTGATTGCGCATCCTGAATCCTCTTGTCCATGCTTTCGGTCGTTGCTTCCTCGCCATCGATAGTTGATTTGACAGTCATATGCACGACACGAGCTTCAGGCGCAGTTCGAGCTCCCAATGCTGCGTCACGTCCTCGGATTGCTCGCTCTTGCTCGGATTGTGCGTCAATGTGATGGAATTGAGGGCGCATCTGGACAACGTTGTCGACTGGCGTGAGATGCAGCTGGTCTGAGCAATCTTAATTAATATATAGATACTGAGCATAGGCAGTGCTAACTTACCATTCAAGAACGTCCCGATCATATACTGTGGTGTTGTTTCTTCGTTCGAGATAGCTTGGCCTCCCAAAGTCTGCTTCACCAGGACCTGTTCCCTCTGAATGGCATTCTCAAAATCCTCCAGAATCTGATCTTGAACTGCTCGCACATCCTCAATTACTCTCGCTCCTCTGCCTCTTCCTCCCGGTGGTGGTGCGCCTCCAATGCCAAATCCACCTGGCAAGCCATGACTCCCAGCTCCCTTGGTCTCCGCGCTTTTCTTTATAGCACTTCCCCACGTTGCACCTTTTCGCTGGTCGTAATTGTTGCGCACATCCATCGGGACATCCAACTCGACCATGCCCGCTTTTGGCTTTATACGCATCTTCAGAGGCTCGGCGGCGTTCTTCTTGCTGTAATTCTGCCTGGCGTCGCGATTGGGGAATTGAAGGACATACATCTGCTTGTCTGCAGAGAGGTAGGGCTTGATGAAGACCTCATATGAGGCCTTGATCGGATCCGGGTCATTCTCCATATCGACGTCCTCCATGCTGTTATCCAGTGGGGTCGAAGCTGCAGCAGAAGCCAAAGATGCAGATCCCAAAAATTACTTTCCAGGTTCTTAACGGTCACCTGAGCTCCATAATCGAGGGGTAAATCGACTAGTCCGTTTTCAGACTAGCCGAGTCATTTTGACTTAGCTTGGTTTGCTCAGCCACAGGTGACGAGTTCGAGACAGTCAGGCGAAAGAGTTCCATTCACGAGACTAGCCGACCTGAACTTTTCTTTAATACTACTAAAATAGACACTCAGCATCCGCCGTTCTTTGCCCTCTTCATACTTCAAAAAAAACAAGACAAAATATCTACTGCAAATCAGAACAGAAAGCAAACCTACATACAGGATGTGTTCCCCAGATATCTTCCTCGGTTTGATCGCAATCCTCTTCCCGCCTCTTGCTGGTAAGGACTTGACTTCGCCCCTTTGAGGGGATCATCCTTCTTCATTCAAGTTCAAGTTTTCTGAAGCAGATACCCTCGATGGAGAGCATCTGTTTGAGGATTTGAAGACGGCTCTCTTTTGATATTAAACATGGCTAACAACATACAGTTTGGGTCAAGACAGGCCTTTGTTCCGCCGACTCCCTCATCAACATCTGCCTCTGTATGCTAGGCTTTGTTCCCGGGCTCCTTCACGCCTGGTATATCATCGCCAAGTTCCCCGAACATAACTACGAATCCATACCCGCGGATCAAGAGTCCGGGAGAGTGACCTACATCGTTGTTGACGGCCATGGAGCTCGCCGCGCAGTCAAGCCCAACGCGAGACTCCAGCAGGGACACAGTGGCGGGTACGGCACTTCGGCTCCTATGGCCCCTCCGGTCCACCAGGATCAGATTACCGGCACCTGGAACAATAGTGCCGCAGAAGGAAGTAGTGGAGGTGCGGTTCCGCCTTCCTATGCTGAGGCTGTGAAGGGAGACCACAAGATCCAGACGAGAGACTAGAGAATCTTTTCTAGAGTGTGAGCAAATTGTACATAGGGGGTGTGACAGAACAGGAAACGCATCGAAACCGCTGCGGCATGTGGTACGAATCGCCGGATGACCTTGGGTGGGAAGCAAAGGAGTTCTGGATTTTATCTGTATTTGGCTGAGAGCAGAAACTAAGCTCGTCTTGAGACCTGTCATGATTATTCTGAAACGTGAAGATTTGAAGTAATGGCACCTAAAATAAGTTCTCCAACAACCGTGTAAGACTTCGCCATATTCATTATCATTAACCTATCAGACTAAGTGAAGCCTCTGGCCAGGATCCCCAAATAAATGGTCTGTCCGTAATCTTGGTATTCATCGGAGCTAGCACCTTGATTCTGCTTCTCTTCTCATCCACTTCCGTAACGAAAATGAACCCCATCACACTTGCATCCCGAATCGTATCCTGAGAGTCGGTCGTTGATGCATAGAGAATAGCCAGCGTACAGTAGAGCATCGAGGCATTTGGGTCGACTTTCTCGTAGATTTGCTTCTCTCCTTCCTCCTCGCCACCAGGCATGAAAGACTGGGCATCCGCTGTGACATATTAGGAAAGTCAGTGGTGGAGGTGGGGGGGATTGGTGCGTACCTCCTAGAATCTTGTAGATGAAAAGATCGGCGAAATTGAGTTGTTGGGTGTGAGGGCTCAATGTCGTCTTCAGGTCGCCGAAGAAGTACTCCTTCAATGCTGCTTCTCGAACTTGCTGCATGAAAGACTCGTCTCTATCAACACAGCCACCGGACTTGTCAAGCTTGACGAGAGTAATTGACTCGTTGCTAGATGTCTTGTAGGTAGAGAAGCGGCGTTGCATTTCGCTATGTAGTCTCTCTGAACCAATGACCAGAATCACGTTCACTGTTGTTATCAGTAACTGCCCAGTCAGATTCCAGAAAGAACTGACCTGAAAACTCGGAAACAATATGCGATATCAAGTCATAGCCTCCCTTCCCTTGGCTTATTACCCCAGGGGTATCAAGAATCATTCCCGTCGACTTGATAACCGGGTCCTCAGAAAACCTGCTCATCGCCGCCAATGCCAGCCTCGAAACCATTGTCTTATACAGCTTCGAATTATCCTCCGGATTTGGCATCCCATAGTAATAGCACAACGGCAGCTTCACCGGTACAGGGTTTGATGTACTCGTCGGACTGCTCCCCCAGCCCTGCTCCACGTCAATAATCGAAGCAAACGGCGTCGCTGTCAGCGTCCCAGCTATAGACAGCAACCCCTCCTTCGAATCCGTGTTTATGACCATCGGTTGTCTGCCCATTCTTATCGCATATGCCGTCAGCAACTTCACCAAACTCGTCTTCCCAGCATCCGTCGGCCCTACGATCAGCACCCTAGGCCCATCCCGTCCATCGCGCTCAGCCTCATCCCGTAGCTTCTCAAGTGCGAAATGTGTGTTCGCGTATTGTATCAATGGCGTCTCTTCCGCGGTGTATTCCTCGCAGGAACCAGTGACTTCGATTTGGCAGCCGTGCCATGTGAAAATGGCAGCTTTGATGCCCCGGAATGTGTAGATGTGGTTCAAGGCGAGCTCTGTTCCAAAGATCTCGGCGGTGCCTGAAATGATCTAATCTGGATCAGTTTTGTCTTGCAATTATTTTTTCGGTTGATCTGACCCTGACGCTAATTTTCTGCTCGATTGCGACTTCAAAGCGCCATTCTGAGTTCTGGTCGAGGTTGTGAAAGACCGGGTTTAGCTTGGTTGCTGGCGCAGACAATGCAGCCTGTTCTTGTTAGATTTCATATTAATCAGGAAATAATGCGATACTCACTGCAGGTACAGCTTGTCCTAAGCCGGGAATCGACATTGTGTTGTTCTGTAGAGGTTGGCCTCGTCGTCGACAGCAGCCTTTCGAGGTCAAACTAGACAAGGATGAAGCTTCAGCCTTGTGGGGCTTCAAGTATTGACTTTCACACTCAACGCTTGATCCACTGTATAATGCGACGTCACACATAGCGTCTTCAACGCTCGTGTACCTGTATGTTGCAATAATGATGTCTGACAAAGATACTGAACACGACAAAATCCATTCATCGCGGATTACCTATATCCCTTTACGAGAAACTCTCATCAAAGCTGGAGTCCTTCAGCCGAGATCTGCCAACATACCCAAAAAGTCATTACAAGGGGACACGAATATCAAATCAGAGGATCCTACTTCACCAGAGCCATACTTGAAGAAGAGGAAGACTGAATTTTTGAATGGCTACCAGTCCCTGCCTCTCACTGGGTATCCATCGGACAAGCCAAGACAAGCTCTTCCAGCAGGTTTGAGTGCGCTACCATTGGGGTCCACCGAGAGCCCCAAATCTTTGGCTCCTCAGCTACCATACTATCGGGTCCCATTTGGAAAAAAAGTACCAACAGATGTGAGATTACTATCTACCAAAATGATACCACGAGCTCCCATTCCATCTTTCACACCGCTCCAACGAATATCGAGCCGTTTCGTCTCCAGTGTAGACCTGGAATCCTCCGAGTTATTTGATGTGCCACCACCCCGTTCTACCCGATGGAATGTTCAAGGCGTGTATGATGTGACCTCGGTTGTGGATGGGTATGTTGATACCGCAGGTTTCTCTCTTAGGCTGTTCTACTATAATCTTGGAGACCAAAGCCAACTATTTGCCAAATTTGCCTTCGACAAACTTGAAGGCATGATGCGGCTCTGTCCCTATGAAGCGGTATCAACGTCCGGAGTCAAGCTTGAGCTTGAGGAATTCGAAAAAGCGTGTGACCTACCGCGGCAGATGGAACCAAGCCCACTTAGACGTTCTTGGTGGATGAGGTGGAGAGCCAAGGACGGGGGAATGCGACTTGGTGAACTTGTTGGTGGGCTTCCAGACCTAAACTACGAGTTCAGCTTCGAGGAAGAGGAGGGGTCCGCCTCGAAAGACAACATAGGTTTAAGAATACTTTTTGTCATGGTCTACAATGAGAATCACTTCGTCTTCCGGGGTAAGAAAGTGGCGAATTTAGAAGATGAGACTGCTCCATCTCGATGGGAGCAGAGAGCATTGTGGAATAGCCTCTGGAACTGGGAATGGGACCCTGTACCCGATTCATGGTCCGATTCATCGTCCGATTCAGACGAGGATTTTGTTGCTCGACTGAGAAGAGGAGGGAGTTCTATTCGGGAGAACAAGAGTAAGATCAAGAGGACGATCAAAACCAAAATTCCCACCGGACCTTCCGGATTGAGTTCAGCCTCCACTCCAATAAACAAGCACATCGAGTTGCCTCCACTAGGAGCCTTCGATGTGACAGGAATTTGGCAGATCGAAGCACAGCATTTGCGAAGCCATCTGGGGATAAGTGACAAGGACGGAAATAGAGGTTGCATGTACATTACGGTAAAGATGGCAAACAATCCTCGACATCACAAAATAGGCCGTCAGCTATGGGCTGATTTTCGTCTCGGCCCAAGAGTATGCGGGGTCATGCGGTTCTGTCCCCGGCCAAATTCAGAGGAGGAACAGCGCATCACGCTTCCCCTCAAAGAATTCGAGAAAGCCTGTGTTCTTGAATCTGCCTGCTGGCCTGGACCTTCCCCGGAAGGTAAGGGAGAGTGGTATATGCGATGGAGAGGTGTGTATAAGAGCCGGGAAATCAGTCGTGACCAGGCAGATTACCGAGTCTCCTTTAAGAAGGACGATGATGGGAAGGTCAAGATGAGAGGAGTCATCGAACTTGACTCGTTGATGTTTCCATGGACAGCCGAGAGACTATTCGCAGCGATGCCACCTGCGCGTAACGAGCCGAGTGTTACCAAGACCTGGAGTGAAGCTCGGCCAGAGCACGACAGGATTCTATCCCGAAGTGAGTGGTTCACAGGACTAGTATAGGTAGTTGGTGGGCTTGTGATTTTGAGGGTCTATTGGCTCTTTTAGTCCTTTAAGTGTAGTAGTATGAATCTGGATATGTTTACTTGATTTTGAGTAGATTGGTCGGTACTCTTATCTCGACGCTGTCTGGATATTCATTCATGGAGTTTGAGGTGGGTTTGATATGATATAGTAGGCTGGTATTCGGGATCTTTGGAAAGTCGGTACTTCCTTCTGGCAGCAATTTCGGTACAAAAACCACAAGTCCATCGCCGTAGTCCTCTTCACGACTCGAGATTTATCCAGACTCGAGACTAACCGCTGGATACACGAGGGGATGCTGGACTATACACAGTTGCGATGTATAAAATCACGAATGAATACCGAAAGTTGCCTGGAGTCCGCCAAGGCAAAGAACTTCTCTGAAAAACGACTATACAAGCTGTTTAGCTCCATTGTGTAATGCAGATTGTATCTAATTTATCATGAAAGTATGCAGACTCATCAATGAAAAATGGGAATGTTCAATAGTCGGATACGGATATTGCACCTCCATGCTGCGCGTTTCGAGCTGAATGAAGCCCTCGGAATAAGATCACCAAGGCTCATCCGGGAAATATTCGAATTACAGATGCCTGTTTTTGCGCAGTTCAATGTTCATTCGATTGGATTCTTGGCTATAGAGTCGCGTAGTACCCGGAGCAATCTGGGATAGTTTCGTCGACATAGGGTCACTTCTAGTCGAGGTGAAGATGGTAGAGTTTCGCTAACGAATGAACAATACCGATATATTCCGGCGTTCTTTGCATATCTGCCCAGCAACACCCAGCAATCTATTGAAACGTGAATTATTGAAAGCTTCCGTACAGCCAGCGCATTGTAACTTTCAATAACCATCGCTCGTACATGTCAGTAATCGAATATCGTTTCCAAGCACATGATTCAAAGATTGATTTATTTCTGGCACCAATGGCATGGCCGGTGCCGCCAAGCTTTGCTGACTTCCGCGCCCGCCCCCCTAAGCTGCATCAGAGCCATTCCATAAGTTCGTCACAAGTTGAAAAGTATACCTACCGTATATCCCTCACCAAAGTGTCTCGGCCTAGCAAGAGCGCAGCCGAAGCGCCTACACGTAGGTAACATCAGATGCACTCCAGCCGAAATCAGCCAGCATGCCGAGAAGACGACGACAAAAGCTCAGTGCTCACACATCAACGCTCCCAAGGAGACAGCGCAAAGAAGAACTAGCAAAGAAAGAAACAAAGTCTTGCTGAAGGAGTCGCATCGACGTGCAAAAATTCTAATACTCCGAATGAGGTCTAGAGCTGGAATGTTGCCGGTCGCTACCTGCTCGCTTGTACAAATAAACACGATCCGGTACAGTAAAAAATATGCCTCTGGATGATCCCTTGGCCTATATCACAAGCGATATTTTATTCACATTCGTGCCACCTCCGGCCCCCGAAATCCGAAGTGCATCCATCCATCATACAATTATCTCCCAGGAAGGCATTCTCCCAGGTTCGGGATCTGTACCCTCCGCGAATCCGAGGCAACTTGTGAGCTGGACGACAAGGCCCACGGCCCCTTACAGAACCGAAAACAACAGAGCCGATATAGCAAATATGTCAGGCGAATGGTTTCCCGTGCTTCATAAGGCCAATTCTCCGGGTGGTGAACTCTTCGGTTTTAGGAAGCTTGCGTTTCTGGATGACGGTGTGCTTGTATGGCCTATTGCTACGATTCCTGGCGTCCGAAAAGTGGCTCTTTTTGGTGGAAGCTTTGAGGTCAATTCCGGTAGCCAGGATCGAACAAGGTGGTGACTTTTGCACTTTTACTGCCGTGATCACAGGAGGAGCGACTCACTTCTTCAGAGCCCGTAGAGAAATCTGTCGCTGGTGACCCTGTGGAAAACATGGCACGTTCAGAGTCTTGAAGAAAAGAGAAAACATCGTGTAAAATTTCGCTCTAGTAGCTGCTCCCAATGCTCCCAGTGGGTATCCATGGCACATTTCCCTTTGAACTCCAAAATCCCGGTATTTCATATGCATATCCCCATTCCATCCCAGCCCCATCCCAGCCCCTCCTATCCGTAGGCCCGATGTCGGGCTCTTCGCAGCGAAGGCCGCTCAAGCGTCCGCAATGCTCTGCAAGATGCGAGCAACGCTCCTCACGCCCGTCAGCGAGTTCTCGTCCGGGCCCCGCCCAGGCGTCCACTCAGCATGCGCAAAGTCGATGACGTTCACAACGTATATCTTCGGTCCCAGGACCTCATCTTCGTCGTCGTCCTCGGACGTCTCACCATCGCCGTTTGTCAGTTTTGGTGGAGTCTGGCTGGCCTCTTCCATGGCGTTTCTGAGAGCTGCTCCGTCGCCTTCGTAAACGAACAGGAGACTGGCGGAGAACATGCGGCTCTCTTGGCTTTCCAGCACGGCTTGAACTCGCTTCACGTCTGTGAGCAGAGCTTGCGCAATTAACTTGCCCAGTTCTTCGTCCACGCCTGCTCCTGGCGAGAACAAATAATTCCTGAATGCATCCTCCACGTTGGATGTCTGGACCGAAACCCTTCCGTAATTCTTATTAAATACTTTGTACCCTTCCTTGTCGATATCATTGCCTGTAGCTCCCTCACCCTGCCAGACCCGCATGCCAGCTATTCTGAAACCGAGATCTTTATGTGTCGTCTCCGCGGTGATCTTGTCGAAGCGTATGCGCTTCTCTTCGGCGGCATCATCAGCCCATAAGCGCACGCCCAATTTAACATCCAAGATGTTTGGCCGGACAAAACCATGGGCGGCGTTCTCGAGCACCACGGCTTGGTTCGTCACTATCTTCTTGCTGGGTTTGGCTGGCGCAACAGGCTCAGCTGCATGTTTGGCAATCATAGCCGCCTCTGCCTTGTCCAGCGCCTCCTCATTCCGCTCGTAGATGGCAGCATTTTCTATGCTTGTCCCATTATGGTGCTCGTAGTGCTCGGCTACGGGATGTTTGGCCAGCAGGGCAGCACCTGCTTGCTCTATCGTCGTGCCGTTGGAGTGTTCGTCGAGGGTCAAGGTGCCCATGTACGTAGGCATAAACTGGGCGAATTCAGGATGTTCTGCTACGGAGGCTTCGTAGAAGGCTATCTCAGCCTGGGTGCAAGGCTTGATGAAGAGCTCACCGTCAACATCGCTGAGCGTTCCGTCACTGCGCAAATGATCAGCAGGGACTCTCGCGAAGGGGAGGGGTGGATTGTTTGTGCGACGTACTGTCCCGCGACGGCATAGTTGTAGTCGATCAGCTCTGCGTGGGAAGGTAGGGGCTTTGCCATTTTGCGGACTGGATTGAGATGGGACCTGCTACGACTCTATCATGATGAGAGAGAGAAGGGGGGGGGGTATTAATAAATAGTAAAGGACGTAAGGAAGTGTAGAAGAGTAGAAGGGTACAAGTCAGGGCGCGGGTAACAGGATTCACCCTGGGCGGGGTGATTGTTATCGCGGCTTCACGCGCAGGGCGGGCGGGACTCTTAGAAGTATGCACTGCGGAAAAGAAATTGACTGCAACTCAGCCACTTTTTCATGCGACGGACTGTGAGCAACACCAAGCCGTTTGCCTCTACTACATCTGCATCCGCATTCACAGCCGTAGTGGTTCATCATTATCAAGTCAAGGATCGGATTGGAATCCGCAAGACAGCAATCAAAAGGTGAGAAGCCGAGAAGCCGCCAACGCAGCCGCCTATAGCTACGGTATAGGAAGGATAGGAGAGAATAGCTAGCTATAGCTTCGCAAAGCTACAAACCAACAAACAATCAGACCACGTAATAACAGGATCTCTCTTTTTTACTGATTCTATCCTTTCTCTCTCTCTATCTCTCTCTCTCTATCTCTCTCTCTCTATCTCTCTCTCTCTCTCTCCTCATTCCTCTCGCATTCAATTATCTGCCAAGCCCTCACTCAATTCATTACCTTCAACCTTCACTTGTCCTATCTGTCTCTCCCTTTCCACGCGCATCATTTCATTCACCATTCACCATTCACCATTCACCATTCACACCACTTGGAAGATCCGAAGCCATCTATAACAAACCTCCCTTCTGATCATCATCATCTCTCCATCTTCTCACTCACATCTACAACCTCCCCCTACCTACCTACTTACCCATCTGCACAGCCTTACTTCACGGTACTACACCACTTCCACATCATCTCCCTCTCACAAATTTCTATCAACTTGATACAGCGGCTGACCCAACGCCCGTCTGACCGGACCAGACCAGCCCAGACCGGACCAGCCATCATGTCGAGCCCTCCAGACCAGGACCAGCACCAGCACCAGGCGACTTCGCTCTCCAAGGCAGTTAGCCAGATTGACTTGAACGCCGCCCTCAACGCCGTGCAAGCTGAGGCTGCTACCGGCCTGCGTTACACCCAGGATACCCTTCTTGCCCTGCGCCCCAAGACCAAAGATGAAAAGAGAGCTGAGGTCGAACACGTGGAAGTTGCTGCCCTTTCGTCACCTGATGGAGATCAAGGGATCATGACCCCTCCGTACAGGGACTCTCCCGCGCCCCCTCCTCCAACTCCGGCTACGCCTCTCAGCAACGGAGCAGAGCCTGTCGCCAGTACGGATGTCGCTGGAGCCAAGAGCACAAGGTCAGTTAGTCGGATCTCGAGAATCTGTCTGATCCCCTTCAACATATCCCATGAACGGCTGCTGATGATCTTGACCTACTACAGCGTGGCTGTCGGAGTTGAAGCTCCAAAGAAGAAGAAGAAGAAGGGTGGTAGTGGAAAAAACAAAAAAGCACCTGTCACCGGCTTTGAGGAATTCTACGCGGATCCTCCCATCACACCCGCCGAGCAAGAGGAGGAGGAGGATCTTTACGAGTGGTCACGCCCAGTTCCAGAGTACGTGCATAGCCAGTAGATATGTCATAGACGTGAGTGACAACGCTGACTTGGCTAGGCGTATCGAAACCGCCATTCAACGGTATCGAGGTCGTCGTAAGCTTGATGAGCATCGCTCCAACATATTGACCAAGTATTTGATGCTCGGAGGTGTTGAAGCTACTGCCAAGGCCTTTACTGGTGGTCTTGACAAGGAGACGATTGAAAACTCGACAGCCGCGGAGATTGCTGCCATTCAGGCAAGTGATTATGTTCAGGCCGGCACTAAGAATTCGAAGTACTACGACGGATCCGATGATTGGGTTGTCGATTTCGAGGGGGTCGCCAAGGGCTTTTTGTAAGTATCGTCTTCTGGTCACAATTCCGGCTGACATCTCCTAGTTCCCACAGAGTCCCTCGCATATTTCCCCTCGACTGTGAGAAAGATATCATGGCCATTACGAATGTCATCCGCAATTTTCTCAACTACATTCTGCAACACGAAGTCGTCCCAGAGTTTACCAAAGACATCATGGCTGCTCGAGCTCTCTGCGATCTTGCTGAACAGGAACTCTGGGCAATTCACGTGCTCAATTTCAAGCTCCCAGGTGATTTTGGCATTGCGGCCTCAACCCTGTACGGTGGTCGATTTAAGGGCCTCTGCTTGGAAAACGAGGGGTGGGTAAAGGAGGACCCAAATTTTGCCGAGATGATGAGCTTGAACCAAGGCTTCAGCGACGAGAAGGCCTCGCGGATCTTCATGACCAGCGTTGCTTTTGCCGGTGATGATGAACTCTTCGTGAAGACATCGGAAGGAAACCTCCGCATTGTCAAGACCGAAGTCAAGTTTCTCGAGGCCATCAAGATCAAACGCGCTTCTGTCGAGAGCATTGAAACATACGCGGGTGTCACTGACCACGAGGGCAAGCCTGGTAAGATCAAGCCACTGGGTAGCATCTGGTACAAGGCATGGGAGGGACCTGGGTTTGACGACGAGGATCTAACGGATGAGGAGATCGAGGCCGCAAAGATCGCACTGGCGACCGCACCTGTCGAGAAGTTCTGGCTCGAGGACGATATATTACAAGACTGCTTCGAGGGTATGAAAATTGAGGCTACCGTTCATGAGCTTAACACCGGCCTCAAGTTCATTGATTCGTTCAAAGGTGTCTTCTGTTCGTTCCACACCATTCTTCCTAACGAAAAGCTGGTTGGCTGGAAGGAGCCAGGTAAGTCACGGTCCTCGGGACCCTTTGGATCAATACTGATTCATGAAAGTTCCCAACACTCGCCCCCCGCCAACAGTTGACGACCCCGAGCTCGAGGAGCGCGCGATGGAAGCTATCATGGAGGACGATCTCAAGCACGAGGAGAAGGAGTTCGCGAAGGGATTCGAGGGCAAGAAGTAAACACGCAGCCTGGTCTCTTCAGAGGTGGATCTTGGCTGTTCTATTTGCTGCTGCGGTTGTGTCTTGGGCGTCTCTGGTTTGGTGTCTGCTTCCATCTTGCACTTCGCTCATATACCCCCTTGAACTTTATTCTCTTCGATGGATCTGGCCCCTAGCAAAGCATTGCAAGGCATTGTATGGTGATTTCTGGCGCTGGTAGGAAAAGCGGTTTGAAAATCTCCGTTCTGGGACACTCAAAGGGAGAAGGCGTTGTCTCGTTCCTGTCTCCCACCAACGATCATGCAAACTCTTTGTTCTCCCCATTCCGTCCCGTGTGTCTACTGAGCTCATCTGTCTGTGCTATGTATCGCTCGCTTGAGACTCACCCGCGCAATGCAAGAACAGGAATTCAAACCCGGGGCGTTTTGAATAACGAAGCATTCGATATCCTTTCCGTTCCTTCCCTTTTCGCCAGGCCGAGCGAGCCCCACCCCCAGTCAGCATCGTGACGCTTAGCCATTTATATATATATATATATATAAGGTATATATATACGCGTCTAACAACACAACTCATGTCTCTTATGCGGCTAACCAACGACTCCCATTCTCCGGGTATCCACGGTTTTCTAGGGGAGACATTCCGGGGGCAGACAGACATCTAGCAGGAAGATATTCTCATGTCCGAGAAAACGCGATCCAGGCCGCGACTTTTTTTTTTTTTTTTTTTTTTTTTTCACGAAACTTTTTACCAAGGCCGAAGAATACCACCATGAAGGGAAAAAGCGATGCGAAGCAAGACAGACCCACATTTTTGCCTTGCTCGATCTATTTATTGATTTATTTAGTTATTTATTTATCCATTCATCGGCTGCCACTGGTGAAGAGGGGGGGGGGGGGGGTAAGAGCCCCCGCAGAAGGAAACCGTTCGTCGATAGCGGCAGTGTCGCTCTCGCGAAGGTGGCTGACGCGGTGATTGATTACACAGAGGTCGCGATGCGCGGTTTGTAGAGTCGGTGGATGGGGATATGTGTATGTGTGAGGCATGATTGGTTGGGACTTTCTTTCTTTCCTGTCGTTGCGATTGTGTTGATTGAAGCTGCTGGGGAGGGATTCGGTGCGGTGGGCGAGAGGGGAGAGGGAGAGTGGTAGGTGAGACCGTGTAGGTCGGGCAGGCAGGCAGGCGGGCAGGCAGGCAGGCGGGCAGAAGAGTACCTACCGGTACCTATGAGTCGATCTACCTGCTTGCTGCCAAGCCAGGAAGGGAACAGATACGCTACAAGCTAGCTACGGCAGTCAAGAGGACTTGGACGCTGCGCGATGGGAATATGGCGCGTAGCTCACGGCGTGACTTGTCTGGTCTCGTTTCGTCTTTTCTTTCTCTCTCTCTCTCTCT